ACGAGAATTCGTATCGCGCGCCTGCGCGCCGGTATGAAACTATTTCTGTAAGGGAGTGTCGACTTTTTGTAATCTCGCGCCATTTTAGGTGGACCAATAGGAAATCGTGGCTTCATGATTTCGAGATTTTCGAGATAATCGATTGTGTCAAGCGTTCTCCCTTTTAGAATAGGATTTTCCAGGAAATTGTTGGAAATGATGGATGGAATTGACGTTGAAAAATTTACAGTTTTTTGGTTTTATCATTATTGTCTTTTTATCGACAATTCGTGCGTCTATTTATTCTTAATTGTACGTCCACCTATTTATTCTAAATTTTTGGTCAATTTTTGGGAATTTTTGAAACTTTGTGATATATTAAATTAATTTGTAATGAAATTTAAAACCGGGTCATTTTTTTACGTCGATTTAATTAATAGTTTATCAGAAATTTGTGAAAGAAAATTGAAAAATGAGAAGATATATTATATAACTCTTTATTTCGTCTCGATTTTCCGTGCAATGAGAGAAAAAATTAGTTCTGTCGAGTTGTTCACTCCAATCATCAATCATTCGTCCACAGACCCTTGACCAGGGGTCGACCAACGATCGACGAACGATCGACTGGCCATCGATCGAATGAATAAATCAATCAGTAGATCAAGTTGTTATCGAGTCACCATCGAGTGGATAGATTACTCGATTGATCTAGTTGGTCACTTGGTCGAGTATTGATTGATCATCGATCGATGAGTAATTTCGTTCGACCAATCATCGACGATCCTACTGCATCTCATGCACCTAATAACCATTAAATATTTTAAAAGGGAACAATCAGATTACAAGGGAGTGGTCTGGTGGACAGATGTGAATCGCCGGGTCTTCATGCCACCTCTCATCAACGACTTGCCAACTAGGTCCAACTACTCATCAACTTCGGGCTTCCGGTCTGCATCGCCTGACATCTTTGAATCCAGTGACGCCACCATAAATACCTCCGACTGCTCTGATTCCTCTGATTATCAGTAAATTTTACCATTACTCTATGATTTACAATTAAAATTTGTTAAACAAATCTTCTGCACTCTAGCTTTTTGCTGAAAAATGTATCATCTGATTATTCTGCTTTAATTCGATCTCCAGATCATGGAGGGAAGGCAGGACCACCAGAATGTCGTCTAAATCAGAATCGAGAGTCGGAGACCTTCGGATGGCGTAAGATGGATTATATAAAAAAAATTAATAACACTTTTTATGATGATCAATGGAAATCAGGGTTTCACTGAAGTTTTCCTGCGATCACTTCATTTCACTTCAAAATATCTGGAAATCTAGGGCAGATAGCGATATTTTTGACAAGATATTTTTTCTAGAGCTACTTTTGAGCTACAAAAAAGGTCTTACAAAAAATTTGCTATCACGTTTAGTTTCAAAGGAATTCCTGATAATAGAGGTAAACCGATTTACATCGGTTCGGTTGGAAAAAGGAGAAATATTATCGAAATAAAAGGAGATAGCGAAATTTGTGTCAAAACATTTTTTGTAGAGCTAATCGAGAGGTACAAAAAAGGTTTCAACAAAAAAATCGGTAATTCCTTTAGTTTCGGAGATTTTTCCAATCGAAGCGACGAATCGGTTTGTATCAGTTCAACTGCTGGAAGACGCAGCGGAAAACGATTTTTCCATTTGAAAATTGAATCACAGGAGAATCAGAGTGACTCGTACATCGCGAAGTGCATCAATGCCACTGGGACAGAAGCCAAATCATCAAAACACCTCTCAATTGGCATCCAATCTCACGGAAATGGCCATCAGGAGGAAAAAGCGACCTGTTAGCAGCAAGACAACCACCAGTCACGTGTGCGACAGCTTCAACACTTGCATCAATTGTTCAAAAACTAGATCGAAATCCACCGAACGTACCACCCGATAAATTACAAAACCATCAACTGTATTCCACAGCGGAAATAAGAAACATCACGAAAATAGAAATGCTTGACCCGAATTCTGGAGTAAAACGAGACATCGGGATTTTCAACTCGCGATCCAGGAAAGATTGTGAATTACCGTGTGTTAATTACCTCGATATTCTGATTAAACCATTTGGTAGAAAACAAGAACAATAAAATATATGTACGAGAAAAAAACAATGGATATTATTAATTAATAAATTTAATTGTCTACTTAAAAATTGAAATATTTGATCTCAAATTATAATGAGAGATATTTCTAATGAATAATTTTTGTTAATTATTTCGTTAAGACCTGTTGAACGTTATCTTTGGCGCTGAATTCTATTTTGTTGAAACTACCCCAGAAGTTATAAATAAATAATGATGGGGAAAAAGTAACAATTTGAGATGAACAGTAAATCGTGGAGAGATCAATAATAAAAAATACGTGATTCGTGATCGGTAATGAATTCTGATAGTAAATATTCATTAATTAAATGAACATTAATTTATTATTGATCCGAATTTATTAAATAAAAATTGCGAAGGAGGAGAATCGAATTAAAATGAATAAATCGCATCTCAAATCGTATAATTGCTCTCTTAAATTGTTCACCTGAATGATAAATAAAAAATATATTCCATGAAAAACCGCAATTATTCAATTAATTATCAATAAACCGATTGCAGGAACTAATTACATTTTTAATAATTATATTTTTGGTATTATCGATGAAGTTGAGAGGAAGTGATTAATTATGGGATTTGGAAATAAATTTGAAATAGAAAAATGAGAGAAATGACGGAAAATCGGTTGTACCGATCTCTCGGAGAAGTGAATAACAACAATTGATGTTTGCCGTAGCTGTGAAATCTCTGAGAACTCCTGGGCTGAAACCGTTTTAGTCGAAACCAAATGTTGGTAAGGGTTCGCTATTTTGAGTTCGGCTCGCACTAAATATGGTCAGATGAACACGTTCACATCCAAATTAACTGGTGGGGGTAGTTGGATGCTAAGTTACTTAGTCAAGTTCACCTCAATATTTTCGGCAGTTGGTTAGTGTTAACCATCTCGCTACCATCCATTTGATTCTAACGGAACAGCGGTAAAATGGTAAGTAGATAATCCGCGCGTGGATGTGAAAATCGGCATTATTTTTTTTTCGTTTTTGTGAACTGGTGATTCGGTGGATGCGAAATAGTGAAGTGACTTCAGTCATCCTGATGTGTGCGGTTTCAGGAAAGATAAAGTCTCGAGCGATTGAAATTATTGAACTTGAGATTAAAGTTGAGTCTCAAGTTGAGACTTTACAGTGGCTCAAGTTCCGGAAAATAAAGTCTTGACCAATTGAAATTACTGAACTTGAGACTGAAGTTGAGTCTTGGGTTGGCTGAAGTCTCAAGTTGAGACTTTAAAGTGGCTCAAGTTACGGGAAATAAAGTCTCGATCGGTCGAAATTAATGAACTTGAGATTAAAGTTGAGTCTCAAGTTGGGACTTTAAAGTGGCTCAAGTTACGAGAAGTAAAGTCTCGATCGGTTCAAATGACTGGACTTGAGACTAAAGTTGAGTCTTGGGTTGACTGAAGTCTCAAGTTGAGACTCTAAAGTGGCTCAAGTTATGGGAAATAAAGTTTTGAGCCGTCGAAATTACTGAACTTGAAATTAAAATTGAGTCGCAAGCTGAGACTTTAAAGTGGCTCAAGTTACGGAAAATAAAGTCTCGATCGGTCGAAATTAATGAACTTGAGATTAAAGTTGAGTCTCAAGTTGAGATTCTAAAGTGGCTCAAGTTATAGGAAATAAAGTTTTGAGCGATCGAAATTACTGAACTTGAGATTAAAATTGAATCGCAAGCTGAGACTTTAAAGTGGCTCAAGTTATGGGGAAATAGTCTCAATTTGGAAGTTTGCAAAGTCTCGATTTGGGATTTCAATTTTTCAAGTTAGTGCTCTGAATGACTTGAAGGATCGGGTTGAGACTTTACAAAGTCTCGACTTAGGACTTTTGGAAATCACTTCCGACTTTGAGACTCAACTTTAATTCTCTAAAGTCACTCTATAGTGGAACGTTGGGTTTGAAAGGATATCAAGACTTGCGGAAGTCTCGAGTTGACAGTTTAAAGTCTCAAGTTGGAATATTGAAAACGCCCAAGTGAAGTCTTTCGCAAGTTTCAGTTGAAGTCTTTCAGGAGTCAAATTAAGCACTTCAAAAACCCTTTCGCAGGGGTCAAGCTGAGACTGCGAAGACTGCAGTTGAGACTTCCAAAAGTCCCACATAAAGTTCAAACTTCCAACACTTAAATTGAAACTTCCCAATCTTCAAGTTTTGACTTACGAAATTCCCAACTTGCGACTTCAAAAATTCTACCATACAGACTTCCGGATCCACTTGAAATTCTTTCAAACCGCATGTACCAGAAACTTGAATCCCAAAAAAAGTTCAACTGAAGACTTGAATCTCTCAAGTTGAGACTTCGAAGACTCAGACTTCAGACTTTAGACCATTCCACCAAACATTAATTTTCACTCAGCCTCACAATCTTAAAAACTCAGATCCCCAAAAAATCTCACATCCAGACGTACAAAAGTCTTATGTCCAGACCTCCAGACTCAACTTTAGATCTTCAAATCCTAAAGTCCTCCGAACCCCCAGTAAATCGAGATTTCCAAAAGTCTCGAGACCTCCGCAATCCTGAAATAAGATTTAGTTTTTTTTTTGGATGATGATTACGTAATATCGGTAACTCGAGAGGAGTGAAAATGTTTTGGGTTCGGTCTATATACGTCCAGGGGGAGGGGGTTTTCCAAACTGGGGATAGGCCTATTCTTAGGCCAAACACGATACCGAGGACGCCTCACCGATTTTCCCTGGGGTTGGGCCTCTCGACAGTCGTCTTCAGTCCATCCGCGAGCATTTCTGCCTCCACATCAGCATTTATCCCCCACTTCCGGTTTAATTATCTGAATAAAAATGGTTAGTTGAATAAAATTCAATAAAAAAATGGAAATCATCTTCATCGGTTTCCGGATTTCCGGTTTTACATTCCCCAGTTCTTCGGCAATCCGCGAAAAAATGAGCCTTCCTGAATATCTATTTATTCCACTTGAAAATATCGAGATTATTTGGTGTGATAATATGAGACGTGTAGAGTCACCGTATGGTTTTATAATCAGAGATAAATAATTTGTTGCAGCGTTATCTGTTTGATTTATCACTGAGTAACTATCAATGGCGGGGGACAAATTAATAATATAGTTATTAATAGTGAAAGTCGGAGGTGAGATTGTACAGTGGTATTTTAGCTGAGGGAATGGCTCTTCTGATAGTTCAACAAGAATATCACCGGAAATTAAAATGTCACCTCAAACTTCTGCTTCGGCGATAATTTTTCAATTTTCAGTTAAACATATTATTATTTATCATGATATTTCAATCTTGGCGTTTTACTCGAAACAATATGTATTCACACGCCATTTTTCTATTTTCAAGTGAAAACTATCAATTTTTTACAGCTAAATATTTCTCCTGGGGAATAAATAATCTTGGGAGGGGATAATTCAATAATAATTGCTGTAGAACTGAATGAATTACACTGTTAGAAAATTAACTTGAAATTCCAATCAAAAACATAAATTTTTTTTTTGTAAAAATTTTTTCTAGAATATTTAATTGACGAATCAATTAATTTGGAGCTCATTTTTCTCTGGGTGCGGATTTGGGTGGAGTTGAAGTTGAAATTGACAATTGTTTTTTTAATTCTTCAGGCGGATAAGGAGAAGAAGAAGAAGACCAAGAAGAAGGAGGAGGCGGCACCAGCAGCGGCTGCTGAAGCACCACCACCAGAGCCAGAGCCCAAGAAGGAAGAGCCCAAGCCGAAGAGCCCGTCTGGAACTCCAACGAGTTCAGCTCGTGCCAGCAGCCGCGGTTCCAAGAGGGCGAAACGCGCTGGATCCAGTGTATTTTCTATGTTCTCGCAGAAACAGGTCGCTGAATTCAAAGAGGTAATTCCAAGGTTGAAGCAGCTACAAGAAAATACTAGATGTCATCAATTAATTGACAAGACAATTGGAAGATTTAATTAAATTGAATTGAATTTTTCAAGAATTTGATTCAGAGACCAATTAATTAACAAGACAATTAAACGATTCGATTAAATTGAATTGAATCTAATTGTTTAATAAATCTAGAGTTAATGATTAATTAATGAAAAAGACAATTGGAAGATTTAATTAAATTGAATTGAATTTTTCAAGAATTTGATTCAGACATCAATTAATTAACAAGACAATTGAACGATTCGGTTAAATTGAACTGAATCTAATTGTTTAATAAATCTAGAGTTAATGATTGATTAATTAAGAAGACAATTGGAAGATTTAATTAATTTGAATTGAATTTTTCAAGAATTTGATTCAGACATCAATTAATTAACAAGACAATTGAACGATTCGATTAAATTGAATTGAATCTAATTGTTTAATAAATCTAGAGTTAATGATGAATTAATTAAAAAGACAATTGGACGATTTAATTAAATTAAATTGAATTTTTCAAGAACTTGATTGAGACACTAATTAATTAACGGGATAATTGAACGATTCGATTCAAATGAATTGAATTTAATTTTTAAATAAATCTTGATTGAGTCATGAGTTAATTGGCAGGACAATTAAACGCTTGCCTTGAATTGGATTGAATCGAATTGATTTAAATCGACATAAAATCTCTGAATCAATTAATTAACTAGACAATTGAACGATTTAAGTAAATTAAATTCAATTTCATTTCTAGATTAATCTTGAGTCAGTGATGAATTAATTGGGGAAATAATTAAATGTATGAGTTGAATTGAATCAAATTAAATTGAGAAAAAAATCTCTAGAGAATTCTATTGAAAGGCTCCTATTGATCCTATTGATCGATTCGATTGATCAGTGAATAGTGTCCTCTCCTGATTGATTCTGGCCTTTCTAATTAATGAATCATAAAAAGAAAACTAATAAAAAATAATTGATTCATCATCGATAATTAATTCTGGCAGTCTATTTTCATAAAATAAGTGACCATTAATTTATTATTGTTCCTAATTTATGAAATAAAAATAGCGAAGGTGAAGAATCGAATGTGAATCGTTAATCGTTAATTATCGTTGCTCTCTTAAATCATTCAACTTATTTATAAAAAAAAATATATTCCATGAAAAATTTTGATTGATTCAGGCGTTCCAACTGATGGACCACGACAAGGATGGAGTTATCGGCAAAGAGGATCTTCGTCAGACCTTCGACTCGGTGGGTCGTCTTGCCACTGACAAAGAGTTGGACGACATGCTGGAGGAAGTACCTGGACCCATCAACTTCACCCAACTACTCACCCTCTTCGCAAATCGCATGTCCGGAGGTGCGTACGAGACATTATTAGGCTCTAAAAAAATTACACGACGGGTAAGAGTCACCCAGGAGTATTGGAAGCTCTATATAGAGGCTATTTTCAAAATAAAATCATTCTGCCATCTAAATTTAGAGTCTTCTACATTTATATTTAGACTTGTGTCAATGTTACGTGTTTTTTTACCTCGATTTTTCGTGATTTTTGTTATCGTTCCCAACTGTTCGCCCCACCCCAATCCACCGACTATTTTGGGATTTTCAGAACTTGAATTTTCACATTTCACATTTTCAAGATCTCCAAATCTTCCAATCATGTCTGATTTTTTAAAAATTAAATTAAGGTGAGAAAAATGTGAGTTTCAATGAATTTTTCGTTGCAAATCTTTTTGTTCCTTGAATGATCTCCAAACCTGAGTGATCTGATCTCCATAAACAATTGAAGTTATCCCCCTGTTTTCTAAATTGTTCAGATCGTGTTAAAAGTCGTGTTAAATTGTTTAAAAATCGTCTGTTGATAATGAAAATAACGAGTTGTGCGAACGTGTTTCGCCCTCTGTTCCTGCACTCTATATGTCTTCCTGTATGTACCTGTGTGGCCCTTATCCGTTTCAAGATACTCACTATGCCTCGTTGGCGATGTTACAGCAGGATCGGATGAGGACGACGTCGTGATCGCGGCCTTCCAGACCTTCGACGTCAACGGAAAGATCAACGGCGACCGGTAAAACCGATACCCTCCAGTATTTCCCGAGTTTTCGAGGAATAACTCTGAATCCACGACAGATACCGCAAATCCCATTGGACCTTTTTTGTAGCCCTCAGTCCACTCTACAAAAAAGTTCTTATGAGCGAATCCGGTATCTGCCTCAGATTCTGAGAAAATCCTCAAAAACTCACGCAAGTTTTAGGCCCATTTTTTGAAATCGCGTTTTTAACTGATGATTTATGATTTCTATGACTCGATCGGATGGACCTGAAGGTTGAGGCATGCCCTGATGACCTTCGGCGACAAATTCACAGCCAAGGAAGTGAACGATGCCTTCGACAACATGTACATTGACGAGAAAGGAATGATCGACACTCCAAGTCTGATTGACATGTTGACAGGAAAGGGTGACGATGAAGACGAATAAATAATAGGCTGAATAAATAAGCATCTCTCCCATAAAAATGACATCTTTAAAAACAAATGAACAATATTAAAATACATTTTAACTTTTGATGATTGAAAAACCATTTGAATTCACGTGAGTCGTGGCTCTTCGACTCATTATCTCGATTATTTTTCGAATCATTTGCTCGTGTATATATGTTATACGTTAAATTAACTCAATAATTATTTATCAACATGAACCCTTCTCTCCTGTCCCACCTCATCCAATTATATTTTTTGTTTATTTCACTGTTTATTTTTGTTTTCGTTTCGTTTTAAGAGAGGTAATCATCGCGGACTTGCAATCCGAGCTATCGCGATTTCCTTCATCCATTCTCATTCTATTCATATAAATAAAATTATTTAAAAGACGCATGTGTTCTCTGTTTATTTAAAGTCAAGCTGAACAATTACATTTCAAGGATCTCAAAGATTCAGAAAGATATAAACAGAATTCGTCTCTTTGCTGAATTAAAAATATGCAATAGATTTTTATTGTTTATCTGTTCTTTTTTTTTTCATTTATTGTTAATTTATTTGTTCTCATTTTGGAAGCCTTTCTCCGAATATCGCACTGCCAACTCGAACGTTCGAACTCCCGAGTTCAATCTTGAAGAGAAAAAGGAAAAATTAAAATGAGAAATGTATTTTTAGAGAAACAAGAGGACGAGAGAGGAATTCGTTTTTATAAACAAATTTCTAGTGGAAATGGAGGTGGAGGTGATTATTTATGGGAAAATACTCACTGCGTGTTCGTAATCTGTTGACATTCCCATCGACAACTCGACTTTACTCTTATCTAGCCCCAATTCTCTACAAATACTCTCCCTGCATTTTATTAATGACAAGAAATCTGGATTTGGTCCAGTCGCTGGATCGTAGCCGTATGCTCCAATGGTCATAACCCCCATGAAATTCAGATTTTTACAATTTTCCAAAACATATTTAACTAACGCCGAGGCCTGCCCGACGTCACAGCCACTTTTTTCTGAAAAACAATGAAAATTCCATTGAAATCAATTTTTTTTTTCCAATAATTCTGCTACAAATATTTCCAAACTACTAGATTCATAATTTAAATTCAACTAAACCAATTATTTTCAATTAAAAACCCGAAGTTTTCCACCGAAATTCACTCAATAAAATATTTTAAAAGGGAAAATAATCTTTTCAGGATTAATTGTTGCTAGATTAAAAAAGAATTGGGACTAATAAATCGATTGGATTAAAATACCTTCTTCCCCACTCGTATTCACCTGCACCATGACATTCAATTTGTCATCCTCTTGCTTCCTAAATTTCTGCCAGCCACTGTCAATAGCAGCTGCCAGTTTCTCGCTGTCAACAGTCTCTATTACATGAAGATTAGGCACCCCCAAGACTCTATTAACTTTATTCCTCTGGAGATGACCGATGAAGTGCCACCGGATGTCTCTGTTCTTCAGGTCGGGGTGATTTCCTTTCTCCACAAGTTCATTCACGTAGTTCTCGCCAAAATTTTTCTGTCCAGCATCCAGAGCAGAGATTATGAGGTCCGGGGGCTTCGTCTTACTCACAGCTACAAGACGAGGCGTGACATTCGCTAAATCCTGATGAAGAAGTTATTATAGTTTAAAAGGAGAATTATTAAAATAAGAGAAAATACAATTAGAATAAAATGATATCTTTTTAATTTTTAATTAATCGATTATAAATCAATTTGATTTATAATTGATCAATCTCGAAACGTAACTCTTCACGAATTTATTATTTATATATTTATCAGACGAGTTACAAAATTATTCGGTACCGACTAAAATTCAATGAATTATTAAAAACAATACAGTAATGATAAAAAAATAAATACACAAAAATAAAATAAAAAAATTTAAAAAAATAAAACCACAGCATTAATATTATATTGTGGTTACTAGAGAAAATGGGGTTTATTTTTAACAATAAATGAACAACAATTTTTTAGCAATAAATAAATCAATTTGAAAATTGAATCAGTCAATTTCTTCAACAACTAATTTTCTAAATAAATGCCAGTCTTTTTACTTCAACGAATTCTTCTCCGAAATTAATTAATTAATTAATTAACAATTTGAATTATGATCTCGATAACTCACCGGTGATCTTTTGGAGCAGGCAATGCGGATTTTCTCCTTAATTAGACTCAAATTACCAGCGACATCCATCCTGAATCTCGAGGGAATAATCATACGACGAAATTGTTGAAAAACAATCAACAATCACAGGAATGACGAGTCATTACGACAAATATTGTTGTCACTGACATAATCTTCCCACGCGTTGAACAGCTGATCAGCTGATCTCAAAATCCCATCGGTGTTTTATCCACTGAGAAATTATTTCTGCAATTTCCAGTCAATAAAACAGATGTCCAAATGCTGAACTACACCGGCACGAGCTGCAATTCATTTTCCATTGTTTTTTTCGAATTGCGCATCAACTGATCCAACAAATTCTCCAACAAAGTATAAATAATAAAAACTCAGGTAAATCTGCTAGCACTTTTCCCATCACCACCTGTCAAATTCTCCCTAAAAATCTAAAAGAATCATTTTTTTTAATTAATTACTGTTGGCCGAAGGGCAATGGATAGCGATTGATGAACAATTCATAAACAATCCATAAACAGTTCATAAACAAATGAATAAAAACCGTGATTATATTATTAATTCATGAATAATAATTAGTAAATGTTTATGTTGAGTAATTGTCGTGATTTTTCATTGCAGAATGAAAAATCACGACTCTCTCTGTTGTTTAATGCAAATAATCTACGATTTTCCATGGATTTCGCAGGCAATTTCGTTGGAACTATCATCATCATCATCTGAATGCTTCAGTCTCTGGAATGGCAACCCATGGCCATGTGACTTGTCACATCTGACAGCCAAAAATCAGCCCTCCATCCCCTTTCGAGTACAAGCCCCAAATTCACTCCATCGATTATGGAATTAATGCGTATATGTTTAAGGAGTAAATTTACAAGTAGTCTACTAGATGTTACGAATAAAGTTTTCAGTGTCCAGAGTGCTAAATACATACGGTAATTTACATTACGTAAATATAAAAGATCTAACCTATAAAATTATTATTTGTTATTACGATTATCATCACGTGTAATCTATGTTTATTGGATCGAGATGTTGATTGACAGCTGAGATTTTGATTAATTGCAGATTGGCGGAGGTTGGAAAATTGGAAACGCCGAAATTACAGGGAAAATATGAAACCGGCCAGCTGATTCTTCATCGGGTGTTTGGGTATCGTGGAGTTATTCTTTTTCCCTGGCTTGCCAGGGTTTATGACAGGGATCTACCCAATAGAAAAGATGGGTAAGATATTTATGGAGTTGAGACCAGATTTCTCGAGTTTTAGAAAAAAACAGACTCGAGTTTTCATATCAATTTACACATTCCATGATGAATACCCTGAAAAATTCAATCTATTCTCTTTCTTCTTTCAGAGACGATGAAAATAATTACAACAGCGTAGGGAAAGAAGTGAAAGGTCGAACACACACATTTTATCAGGTCCTGATCGATCAAAGGGATTGTCCATTCATAGTGAGTCATAAATTCTATAATAATGCCTGTGAGAGAAACAATTGTTTGTCCCAAATAAATTTTGTAACGACAAAAAAATTCAGATATTCTAAGATAAATATTTGTATGAATTTATTAAATTTATTTGGGACAAGTATTCTCTTTGGAATGCGGAAAAGTCTGTGCGGTCTAATGAAAAGGGAAATATTCCGTATCAATGTGCATTCTCTCAGGATACTATTATTTAATAACAATTATTCAATAATTTTTGACATTAAAAGAAATTAATTGGTCTTAATTAATTGTCCACGGCCATTTATTTTTCATTGTCTGTTCCAGAGAGCACAAACTGAAGCCGTAACTTTCCTCGGTAATAACGAAAGCAGTAGAAGTCTGTATGCAATTCCAGGACTAGATTACGTAGCACACGAGGATATATTGCCTTATTCGACAAACGACAAAACAGCGCTACAACACGAGCTCTTCGACAAGTTCCTGACGTTTCACCCTGGGAGAGAACCGCCATTCGTTGCCCAGGAGACCCTCAGGGCATGGCAAGAGAAAAATCATCCCTGGCTGGAGCTCTCGGACGTTCACAAGGAGACGACAGACAATATAAGAGTGACTGTAATTCCTTTTTACATGGGCTGCAGGGAAACACAAACTACATCTGTCTATTGGGTGTGTACAAATTACGGGACATTGTCAGATAAATTTGTCTCATCTCTTTAGAATATTCCTTAATCATGTCTGCATTATTTATATATATTTGTATGTTAAAGTGGCCCGCAGATGCTCATGGTGGAATTTTATTCGTTTATTTATCGACTCAATTGATTCAAAAAAATAATTAAAAACGTGCCGATGGAGCGGTTTTTTCTTATTTAAATAATACGGGTTTTCCGTCAATTTTCTGCGTTATTTCTTGGCGTGCCTCATCCAAACGAAAAAAATATGAGCTCTGGGGGAAGCTCATCAGGAATAGGATTACTTTGTGCAGAATTTTTAGTATTTACGTCAATTGATATAAACCATCAAATAATTCACCTTTTTCAAATAATTAATACCTTGGCTACTCAATACTTGAAGATACATGAAAAAGTTTCAAATAAACAATGTTTATCTGTGGAAAATACACAGATTTAGTCGAATGACTTAAATCCGTATCACCATTATTTGTTGAGATATTCACGATTGTCAATTAAAAGACATAAATCTTAAATATTTTTGTAAATATGAGGGATACAAAAAAAGTGATAAGATTAATGGATATATATTTATGGATTAATGGATTATATTTATATGTAAACCAAATTTGATTGAACTTTTTGTTTTTTGTCTGTTTTATTTATACTAGTGGCGTTATTGTATTCGTCTGGAGAATCTAGGAGATCTCAGCGTGCAACTACGAGAGAGACATTGGCGAATATTCAGCCTGTCCGGGACTTTGGAGACTGTTCGTGGTAGAGGTGTCGTAGGTCAGGAACCTGTTCTTTCAAAAACTCTTCCAGCTTTTCAATACAGCAGTCACGTGAGTCTGCAAGCACCCAGTGGTCACATGTGGTACGTCAATCTCTAATTGATATTTTCAAAAGATTGGAATTTATGATTATTGTTCAATGGATGAATCGTAAAATTGTTCTCACAGAAATAATCAATTAATTTTACAAATATTATTTTGCATCAGGGGAACATTCAGAATGGAGAGAGAAGACGGTTACACGTTTGACTGTAGAATCCCTCCATTTTCTCTAGAGTCTAAAGTCGACGAACCCACGACACCCAATGCTGAGTCTTAATAAACAAGAGTGAAAATTAAAAATAGACAAGAGACAAGACAAAAAATACATTAAATCCATTGTGACTCATTCTGAATCTGTAAATAAAATATATTTATCATTGAAGTATTGTTACTAAACTGTAGAATTTTAGTACTGAAGGAATAAACCAGTAAGATTGCGCATATGTTCAATCCTCCAATTATATTCCTCTGAAAAATCATCATGTTGATTATGACCTTCAATGTACTTTCTTGATGATTAGATTAGATAATAAATTTTGTTGTTCAGTGATTTAAACAAAATACATACAAAAGTCTAAAAGTGATAATTGACATCAAAGTATCATTAATGGAAATTCTTCTCGCAAAAAATGTCAAGTCTCGAAAAAAATGAATAATCATTGGATGAATCTACCCAAGAATAAATGAAAAATACTCATTCCCTAGAAGAACATGATTAGCATAATTAAAACTCGAAGAGGCTCATTTAGAAATGATTCGATTAGAGAAATACGATTTTAATACAGGGGACGTTGAAATAATATGAAAAATCATTAGAAATCGTTTCGTTTTCCATTTTTAAAGTATTGACATACTTAAACGAATATAAATACATTAATAAACAACCTAGCAATATTAATTAGGCTCTTGGAAAGTGAAAAAAACGCAAATAATGGACAAAAAGTGGGTAATAATAATGATGAGCACTTGGGGTTAAATAATTAATTTTCGTGATTTTGGCCGGGGGACTTGGGATAATAAAATCTTTCGAGATCTGGACCTGGGTTACTTGATTATCATCAATTCTTGGATCGTTCATCTTCTTTTATTTGTGTGCCTAATCAGATTATCCCCTTCCAAAACACAACCCCGCCCCTCAATGGACACCCAATGGCGTCTGCTGCAGTGCTGCCTCTGAGAAAACTATTAAAAAAAAAAAATAACCCGTTGCCGGCGTCCAAAATCCGAAACATTCCACGTTGACATCATCAGTGAGTCCATCGGCCTCCACCATCTGCGTCGGTTTCACTGCTTGCATTTTTCTACTCATTAATTTGCGTATTATTTTTACAAAATCATCTCCCAGCATCAACTACGTAAAATGGAAACACGTAAGTACAACGTCGATAACATGACTTTGACAATAAATCATTGTTTATTATTTATTGTCATTCGTAAAAACATACGAGCGGGCGATGGCTACACGATTTCGGCTCCAGAATTACAATCACAACATTCATTCATTGATATCTCTTAAGGGAAGAGAGATGATGATATTTTGATTAGAACCTTTTTTCAAGAGGAACATCAAACGGGCAAAAAGTTTCCTATAAAAATTTTTCTGTCTCTTTTCGATTCCGAGATATTCTCTCATGTCGGGTCTCAGTCCAGTTTATGGTTTTTATGATTTTGACACAATCGTTATTTGAGAATATCTTCGGAGCGAGATGAGTTGGCGAAATTTTGTATAAGATCTTTTTTGCGGGGAACAAGGAGCTCGAGAAAAAGTTTCCAATGAAGATTTCTCTGGGACTGTTGATTTTCGAGATATCTTTCAGAAGATGTTGACAGGAAACTCGTTTTGTTCGACGATTTTAACGTGCAATTGATTATTATTTATTAACGCCAGGGAAAAATTGTTGCAAATGTTAGGATTTACTCTGATCGTTATTGAGTATAAAAATCTGAAGTACTCTGATCAAGTAATGAGAGCTGGTGTTTAGTCTGGCGACTGCAGTTATTAAACATTCCCAGACGGTTTCGCTCTACCCTTGAAAAAGCAGTCACTTTGTCAAACAAAATGGCCGCCCAACCAATCCACTGGATTCGCAATGATTTCACAATATTTAGACTTTAAACTCAAATCTCCTGCGAGCACTTCCTTCGGAAATATCAAACTGCATTATTCCATTTATCCAAAAAATAAACATAAACGCATTTTTATATTTTCTCCATTTTGAAATTAATATTTCTTTTCACACAAAAAAAATGCGGGGTAATATGGATAATTTTTTAATTACAATTTGTGGAGTAGTAGAACTATCGGAGATCTTTGTCGGATGACAGAATTACAAGCTAAAATGATAAGCGTTGGAGATTATTTAATTGTTATCAGATTCAATAACAAATTCATGCTTTCGATTGTTATCAGTAATTAGACATTATTTACGTTTATTCTATTTTTGGAAAATCAATTGCTGAATCCTCAATCTACTATTCATCCGTGAATTCTCAGAAAGATTTAAAAAAGTTAAAAATCAAAAATGGAACAATTTGTAGTAGAAACTCGTTTAAAAAATGGAAAAACGACAAAAAAAAATCGATAATTTGGCATTAAAAATATGGAATGAAGAATAATTTGTTTTTTTTTGTAAACAGCCGGTGTTCTGACAGCTGAAGTGATCGATGACTTCAGGAAGAAATTCTTCAACAATCAGAGAAATATTCAGGCGCAGAATTCTTGCGTGAAAAATGATCCCGTGGAGATGTGCGTCTCTCGACAGAATCTCGAAAAAAGTAATCATGTGTTTCAACATAAAGTTGCGGAGGTCAAACCCATGACCAATCAGAAAAATTCAGGAAGATGCTGGCTGTTCGCTGCTCTCAATGTCATAAGGATCAAGTTCATGAAGCAGTACAATCTGGAGGAATTCGAGTTCAGCCAGGCGTATCTCTTCTTCTGGGATAAGGTAGACAGGATTTTTCATTCTGATATCTTTATTTAGAATTTTTTTAAACATAAACGGAGAGAAAAGTACAGGCAGAAGTATCTAGTCACGTAATCGTGGACTGAAGAATGATTTCAGTAATTTTTATCTAGAATCATGATAAAAAATAAGAGATGGACAGTTAATTTTATTATTTACTCCAAAAAATTCACGGTATAGTCACCTATTGTAAATTTTCTTACCCCATACTTTTTCTAATTTCGCCATTCGCCCTAGGTTTACCTTTCAAACATTAATTTATACGGAACGTCTCACGTACCTTTTGCCAGTATTTTTTTCTCCATGTCCCATCGACTTCACAAAAAAATTTGAAAGGAAAAATGACAGGAAATTTACAAAAAATTACTAACAACTGAATTGCAGATCGAGAGGAGCAACTTTTTCCTCCACAACATAATAATAATCGCAAAGAGAGGGGAGAAAATCGAAGATCGTAACGCAAGTTTTCTGCTATATGAACCGGTGCCAGACGGTGGACAATGGGACATGCTGATAAATCTGATAAATCGTTACGGCGTAGTTCCAAAGAGTAGTTTTCCAGAATCCTGGACGAGCGAGTCCTCCTCCAGGATGAATTCCCTCCTGAACAGTAAACTGCGTGAATACGCCAGAGTCCTGAAACAAATGGTGGACCGTGGATCAGCTGACGAGGACCTTGAGAATAAAATCAGAGAGCAGATGGAGGTGATATTCCGAATCGTTGGTATCTGCCTGGGAGTACCCCAGGAGACCATCACCTGGGAATACTACGACAAATCAAAAGTGTACAACTGCGTTGGACCGATAACTCCTCTGGACTTCTACAAGAAATACGTCAAGCCTTATTACAATGTCGATGACAAAGTCTGTCTCGTCACAGATCCAAGACCCTCCAATGAGTTTGGAAATCTTTATCAGGTTGAGCTGCTGGGAAATATGGTGGGAGGACGAAGAACACTTTATAATAATCAGCCACCAGAGCAGCTTATGTCACTCGTTGTTGACAGTATTAAGAGTGGAGAAGCTGTTTGGTTTGGCTCCGAAGTCTCCAAGAGATTTGCATCCAAGAATGGTCTTCAGGATCTCAAGGCTCATGATTTCAATGCTGTTTTTGGTGTTGATATTCAGCTCGGACTCAGCAAGGCTGACAGGCTCATCTACGGCGAGTCCGCCATGACCCATGCTATGGCCTTCACTGCAGTTTCTACTGGCGTGAGTCCTGGCCTTTTACCTTTTCTTTTTTATTTACTAGGAGGGCTACCTACTTTGGAGGAATTGAATCTGATTGGATTAATGTTGATTAAAAAATTGAATTCTCAGTTCTTTTTTCGCATTTTGGACCACATGACAACAGATTTTAATGAGAAATGGGAACATTTCAATCGAATTTTTAGAAACTTAATTGAATTTAATAATTAATAATCATAAAGCGGCCTTAAGAATCAATCTCAAATTTTACACAGGCATCTGCAATCACTTCAAAAACATGTAAAAATTCCAGACAATTATATCTTCGCCAATATAGATAAAATAATGTTAATCATTCACTTTTACTTTTTGTTCCAGACCGATGGAAAAGTGAAGAAACTCAGGGTAGAGAACTCCTGGGGTGAGGAACGTGGAGACAAAGGTTATCAAATACTCACATCAGACTGGTTCAATGAATTTGTATTTGAAGTTGTAGTGGACAAAAAGTTCGTACCGGACGAAGTTCTTGATGTATTTAATCGAGAACCGAAACTCTTGCCAGCCTGGGATCCCATGGGATGCCTAGCTCGTTCATAAATTTTTCTATCGATTCGTAAACATTACAGACATGAATTTTTCGATACTTAACAATTTTATTATACCTATACCCATGTAAGAGAAACCAAAATTTCTCACGATTAAAATTACGGAATAAGAAATATCTTTGCTTTACAATAATGATCCAGTATAATTGAATTATTTACAACTGTACAGTATGTTTCATTGAGTTGGAGGAATTTTCTCAGGGATTAATCATCTCCTGTTCTTCTCGAGCTCATGGTGGTACTTCAGCTTCGACCAGATGCCCTGACACATTTTCATCAAGCGGATATCTTTGTTTTGGACGGCGTATCTATAAATTTCTGGTATTATCCGCTTAGGAATTTTTAATTTGTTCTGTTGGATGAGACTCAGGGCGGCGTAGAGCTTGCATCGAGCGGCTAGAAATGGATCTTCCAGACGAAGAGCCAGCTTGAACTGCTGCATTGATATTTTACCAGCTACTAGAGCCTGCGATCACAAATTTGTATAATTAACAGTGCAGAGTAATATGGACATTTTTTTATTTAAATTTGTGGAGCAGCAATTAAAATCAGATATCGTTCTCGGATCACAGAAGGACTATCTAAAATGATAATCGTCTTGTTGAAAATTATTTAATTCTTAGATTAAATAACGAATTGATGCTTTCGAAAAAAAAGAATTTCGGCGGTTAGGGATGCTAGGATTTTTATGGGAAATCGTCAGTTTTTGAAATTGAATTGCCAATGAATTTCTTTTGGAAATTCCCATTGAATTTCTGGAATACTTTTATAATTCAAAGGCGGAAATTTATTTACATAGTCAGCGAAGTGATCTCCCATTGCTGAAAAAGCTCCACCGAGAGTTGACAGCCAGGACAGAGCATAATCGATCTCTCGCCTTTCCATTGCCATTTGTGTCACTCTCTCACCCCTGAAATTCCAGAGACAAAGAAAAATTGAAATTCCATCGGAAATTTAAACTGTTTTTGATGGAATTCTCTGCATCATTCGTCTAAAATTTATAATTACGATTACAACTTCCATCTAACCCTCATTTCACCTCAAGCTCCGAATTATTCTGCAACGATTTTATTAAAAATCTTAAATATCGTATTTATCCTAGAAAAAAAACCGTCAATATTTCCACCTGGAATTGATGTTTTTTTAGATAATGGAGAATTATTAGGGAAAAATGGCAGTCACCAGTTGTAATCCAGGAATTGTTTCCTTGGCATCCTCAGCCTCAGGAGGACGACAGGCTGTTTCCCATCCCGAACTGCTCCCCAGGTCAATTGATTTAAGAGTCTAACAGCTGATTCTCTGTAGACTTCAGAGGATTTTAACAAATAAACATAAACCGAGGCGACATATCCACTGAATCCCCTTTTATTCATTCGCACTCCAACTCTCTCCAGTGACTCCAACCTCTTCACATAATTGGTTACACCGTATGGAGTGATTAAAATATCATCGTGCACTGATTTTCCCACATGTAAAATCATCCTCAAAGCCATTTTCCTCTTTCTCAGATTTTTAAACCTTTCTAAATCATTCTGAACAATTCTTGAACTAAAAATATCACTCAACACTTCATTCACTTTTCAGAATTTTTTTCTAGTAAATCGTAAATAATTTAATCTAATTATTTAATACGAGGCAATAATGGGACAATTTTTTCAGCGAGAGATGATGTGTGCAGAGAAAATCCGGAATATTCACCGGTTGTATGTGATCAGCTGTTGATGAATCGTCTGAATATTGCCGCGTGGTGCGCAGGCACATGCGCAGACATTCATGATTTTTCGACTTATCGAGAAAATGTATTCTGAATCGAGCGATCGAATGATGGGGCTAAACGATTGATCGATTTTTATCGAAACAAACCGAACGATAAAAAATAATCGATATATCGATTCTGCTGGACTAATCGATTTTTGAATAATCGATTTAATGATGATCGATAGTAAATATCGATTTTGACTCTCGATACTCATAACCTCCAAAAAAATCAAAACAAAAACATAAACAAAGTCAATTAATTAGGAAAAATATTAAAAATAATGCCATTTACGGCGGATGCAGCTGCGACTCAGATTCAGGAGCGATTGAAGAATATTTTCCAGCTACTCCAAGATATCGAGAAGGAGCGCTCGAGGTCAGAGATCAATCTTAACAATATAACAAAAGCTCATGAGAAAGTCGCCCCCGACGATAAAGTGACGCCTTATTATCAGCAAAAACTCAAATCCTTGTACAATTCAGCGGTGCAGGACGCAGGACAGGAGGAGGAACTCCTCAGGAATGCCTTGACGAAGATCAATGAGATAAGGTACTATTTACCCCTCCACGTACTCTTGGATTTTACCACTTGGGCCCTTCAACAATTCAAAATTTCATCATAATTTTATATTTTGGAGTATATTTACAGAAATTTCTATTTCCTCCATAAGAGGCCGTGTTAATTAAAAACTTGAATCATTAATGACCATAAAATTTTTTTTTATGAATCAATCTCAAATTTTATACAGACACCTGTTATCGCTTCAAAAACATTATATAAAAATTTCAAGCAATTTTTATATCTTCGCCAGTACATGCAAAACAACTTTAATAGTAATCGACGTAATTACTGTAGGTCAATAAGAAACGAGAGGAGGATCCAAGCAAGAAATGCTGGAAACAAAGAGACGATTCGTCGAGGTGCCCTGATGAAGATGTTGCAGAGTACAGCAGCAACACTTCCCCTGTACATCGGTAAAACCCCAAGTGCAAAGCCCCCACCACTTTGTGGGGCCATTCCCGCGGAGTCCACGTACATTGCCAAAATGGGAGACATGGTGGCAGCTCTGGTGAAGGGCGCCGAGGAGGAGGAGAACTGGATTTTGGCGGAGGTTGTGCACTTCAACGCGACGACTAACAAATACGAAGTCGATGACATCGACGAGGAGCAGAAAGACAGGCACACATTATCCAAGAGAAGAGTTGTTCCTCTGCCCCTGATGAGGGCCAATCCTGAGACTGATTCACACGCCCTCTTCCCCAAGGGCTCAATCGTCATGGCACTCTATCCCCAGACCACATGTTTTTACAAAGCTGTTGTCAATCAGCTGCCAACATCTGCCACTGAGGAGTACGAGGTACTCTTCGAGGATGCCACTTACGCTGATGGGTATTCACCACCTCTCAATGTCGCCCAGAGATACGTCATCTCCATCAAGGAGGGGAAGAAGAGCAAGAGTTAGGGGTTGGGGCGAGGTAGCAATTATCGGAAATATTGGGGGGATGATCCGGAGAAATTGGAAGTGTAGCGGATTTTTTTAATGAATAAATGCTCGTGTTTTTTGGAAATTCTGGGAATTTATTCCCGTCATTTTGTGGTTTTCTTAAACAGTTCGAAATTCTCGAACTCGAAATTCCTTCAAAATTTTCGCTACAAGAGATGATAGCTGATAGCTTTTTATCGCAGATTTGTGATCAGAAAACAAAATACTATTCGAATATCAATTTTCGAAAATGGGGAAATTAACGAATCATATTTTTATTGACATCCTACACCAAAAGTCAATTCTAAAATACGACGAATAAAATTTTTGGTCAATTAAACCAAAATTTAGGAACAGATCGAAAAGATAAATAAAAAAATGATGGAAATGAAAAAATTAAAAAATGGGGAAAATCAAAAAAATGTAATGGTGTCCGTTTTATTTGTCCGTACACTTATTTTTTAATCTTTCTGTTTATTATTGTCTTCTCGTTTTTGTTTTCTCGACATTTTCTTCAATAACTAAGAAATCGCCCACTTACTGCATAATTTTGTAAATAAACATTTCACACAATGAATTTTAACATTTCACGTCATTATGCAATCAGGAATTAAAAAAATCACCGGTCAATTTTGTTCCAGCCCCAATGGGAAACACCCACACCAAAAAAATGATAAAGATAATTTCAAATTTGCAATCATTTACCGCCAATTTGAGAGAGTGGCGCTGCTGTCAATTTCCGGGAATTCGTGCTTGACACCAGGAATTCTGTCAATGTGGCCTGACCCGTCTGAAGGTTCTACCCACATACTGAGAAACGTGTCAAGATATTCAAAAGCATATCGAACAATTGAAATACAAAAATAGAAGCTCTAGAATGCCATATTCCGAAGAATACATCAAGACGAAACTCATCAAGTCTTTGGACGCCTCTCACGTCGTAAGTAATTCTTTTTCTCTTTCGAAATTCTCGAAGTTTTACTGTTTATTAAACCTGCAATTGTTTACAATGATAGTTGACTTCACGTACCCATGATATCGTTATCAGTTCGCAGCAGAAGACATATCCACATTCACTTGCATGGAAAAAATGGATGGAGCAGACTATTTTTATGAACATTAGATGAAATTTCTGGTCAATTCTGTCGGGATTCAATTGATGCTATAGGGAATTCTTACAAGAATTATCACCATTTTTTAAAATATAATTCTTGGCGATATCCTTTTGGAAAAAGTTCATGAATTTTTTAAATTCTTTATTCCACTAGTTTTTTCCACCGTTTTTTGATTTATTTTGCAGTGCAGAATTCTGGGCAGCAATTTAGGGAATTCTTGCAGTAGAAATCCTAAGAATTATATAATTTTGAAAAGAAATCATTAGAATTTTTCCTGCCTTCTAGATTTTTTTAATTAAAAATTGTTAGTTTTTTCCACTGTTTTTTGTAGTTTTGCATTAGGGGAAATTCAGGGGAAATTGTCCAAAAATTCATGTCTACGAGTCGTCACGGAAAAAATTCCAGGAATTTCTGGTTTTAAAGAGAATTAATTGAATATTCGATGGAATCCCCAGAGATCTGTAGGAATTCAATGGAGAAATCATTCAATTTTTTGATGCGCACTGACGATGATGAACGATATGATGAGTAATCTAGATATGGCACGACGTGATAAAACTTATCTGAATGAAGCCATTGATAAAAAACACGCCACGAAGATACAATCGGATTATCTAATTACTATTCAGACTGAACTATTGACTGAATGACTTCACATACGAATTAATTTTATGCACGTGTGGTATCTCCAAATTAATAACGACAAGGTTTTATAATTCTATTTTAAGAGCTTTACAATATTTAATTTAGAACTTTATAATGCCCTTCAAATAATCTGATTTTATTTTATTTAATCATTTAATTTGTTCATTTTATTCAATCTTCTTATTTATTTTATTCAATTTCAAATTTTGTTTTAATTTCGCGATTTCTTTTCAATTTCATTTCTCTTAAAACGACAGGACAAATTTTCCCCGGAGCCGTATTAAAAAAACGTAAAAATAGTCAGTAGAATTTTGATAAAACCCGGGGAATCCCCGAGAGAATTCCTAGAATTTCCGAAATCGCGAGATCTTCCTTGAATTTTCCCAGACGTAATGATCGTCTCTACGGAGGGTTCTCTGTTACTTGCAGTAAAGAATTCCCTCGGGAGAAATGTCTGACCTGGGAGTCCTCGGTCTCGTAATCGGTGTGGGTGTGATCCTAAGAATCTCCACAAGTCTCCACCCGTACAGTGGCCAAAGCAAACCCCGGATGTACGGTGATTACGAGGCGCAACGCCATTGGCAGGAGATAACAGTTCATGTTCCGTTGAAGGATTGGTACAGAAACACAACAAACAACGACCTGGAGTACTGGGGTCTGGATTATCCACCACTGACTGCGTACCACAGTCTGTTGCTCGGAAAAATGGCTAATTTCTGGAATCCCTCGTTCGTCGAGCTGAAGACCTCCCGAGGATTCGAATCCGACGATCACAAGCAGTTCATGAGACTGTCAGTCCTCCTAGCAGATCTCTTGCTCTTCATTCCAGCGGTTGTCCTGTATTTCCACTCTTCAGAGCCCTCCGATTCCTCTAAGGAGCTCTCAAAGTCCTCTCAGCCCTCCAATAAGTCCTCAGAGTCCTCAGAGTCCTCAAAGTCCTCTAGACTCCCCGAAGACTTCCGCAAGTCCTACAAAGAGCCTTTGAAGTCCTCAAAAAAGTCTTTAAAGTCCGCTGAATCTTCTAAAAAGTCTTCAAAGTCCTCGAAAGAGACTTTGGATACCTCAGAGTCCTCTACCAAGTCTCCACAGTCATCCAAGGAGTCTGAAAAGTCCGAAAAGTCCTTTAAATCTCACAAAAACACCTCACAGTCTCTCGAGTGCTCTGTGAAGTCCTCCACCCTCCTTGAATCTCCCCCAATCCTAGACTTGAAGTCCTCCCACCTCCTCATGCTCTCCTCTCTCCTCTACCCCGGGCTAATCCTGATCGATCACGGTCACTTTCAATACAACTCCATCTCCCTCGGTCTCTTCATCCTCGCAGTCCTTTTTATGTCGAAAAAATTAATTTCCCTCGCCTCCATCTTCTTCGTCCTTGCTCTCAACTACAAACAGATGGAGCTCTACCACTCTCTTCCATTTTTCTTCCACATCCTGGGGCTCTCCCTGAGGATGAGCCGAGACTCCTGGTGCTCCTCCCTGGGGCTCATCCTGAAAACTGCAGTCGTCGTCCTGGGGACTTTTTTTATCATCTGGGGGCCTTTCATCATCGAGTGGCCAGCAGCCCTCGATGTTCTCTTCAGGCTCTTCCCAGTGGGTCGAGGACTCTTCGAGGACAAAGTCGCCAACATCTGGTGCGCTTTAAACGTCATCGTCAAGCTCAAGGAGATCCTTACACCTGCGCAACTCCTCAAGATCACATTTTTCGTGACTGTCTCTTCAGTTCTGCCTTCCAATATTCATCTACTCCTCAGGCCCACGAGGAAGACGTTCCTCTTGGCTCTGATTAACACATCCCTCGGGTTCTTTCTCTTCTCGTTTCAAGTCCACGAGAAGTCCATTCTCCTCGTCGCTGTCCCGGTGATGCTGCACTTCGGGGATGATCCGTTCTTCTGCTTCTGGTTCTTGATTATTTCGAGTTTTTCGATGATTCCGCTTATTTTAAAGGATCAATTGGGACTCGCGTTCTGTGGAACTCTGGGATTTTATTCTGTCGCTGTCGGGATGATGTTCCCTCAGGTCCTTCAGACCTGGAGGTACTTGGGGGGTAGCAGGGTGAGGCAGACCTCGGGGAGGATTGCGTTTTGGGGGTCGATGTTTGGCGCGATTTTTCTGGCTTTTGCTTGTGCTTTTGTGCCACCCCCTGGAAAGTATCCCGATCTGTTTCCGCTACTTGTGTCGGTTTATTCCTGTGCACACTTCCTCGGGTTTTTAATTTATTTCAATGTCAAGCAGATCTTGGGGACAGGATGATGAAACTTTAATGCCTTCGATTGATTGATTGATTTTTGCTGTGAAAGCATGAGCCCATTTTTTACCGATTTCTCCTTAATTTCTCGAAATTGAACGGAGATAGCGATTTTTCGGTGTCTACATTTTTTATAGAAAATTATTAGAGCTACAAAAAAGGTATCGACAAAAATATCTCTATCTGCCTTCTATTCCGAGATATTCACCAAAAACTGGAGTAAATAAACGCGCTCACCATTTCGCGACAGAATTGCCGATATTTATTGAAAAATTAAGACTGTTAATCTCTCTCCGCAAAACATTCAAATATTTTTATAAAAAAAAACAGATAGAAAATCCGAAACTTTCTAGAGCAAACGAGAGAATTTTTCCAACAATTTTTCGCATTCAACATATTCGCACAAAGGATCAAACCAAAAAAGCATTTCAATTTGTTAATTAAAACATCCCGTTGAAGATTCACAAAAAAACATTGTTAATTTGAAAATCTCCTGCGAAGGACTGATAGTTGTCTTGACAAATGATTTTCAAATATAAAATTTACTGGTGTAATCTCTGATGTAATATTCTGTACATATTTTTGTGAATAAATTCGATTAATCGATCTCAAGATTTTCAATGATTTTAAACTCCTGCGGCAGTTCAAAGCGAAAAAAAAAATAAAATAGAAAGCTGGAGCACTTTTTGGTGATTAATTGAATCTCATTGGCTCCAATAGACTTTAATTAATGCTGCGGTCTGTGATTCTAGGAGGTGGAGGATCAGTCGGACGGTTGTGGAGCCAAATTTGCTGTTGTCATTGTGTCCGAAAAATTCGAGGGCAAACCGTTATTACAACGTCACAGGTACACAAACTACTCTCAAAAATTAAATCTACACCCACTGCATCACAATTTATTATAATTACCTGGTAATTATGAAATGTGTCGTGCATTTCATTAACATAATTGGTATATAGAACACCCATACATATTTATCTGTATGTATTAAAAAAGATGGTTTCATTTTAAAAACGAAACTCCCTGGTTGATCCTGTCAGTAGTGATATGCTTGTCTCAAAGATTAAGTCATACATGTCTCAGTATATATCGAATTAAGGTGTGACCTTGAATGGCTCATTAAATAGAAGTGATGGTTCCTTAGATCGTACTCACATTTACTTGGATTAAAGCGAGAATATCTTGAAAAGAAATATCAAATGTAAATATTACGTAATAGAACAGGAGTAGAAAATTTGAGGAGAACTTTAATAGTAGAATTGTGGATTTCCACTAGGCAATTTTTTGTTTTTCTCCTCGAATTTCTTGTGGTTTATAGTAAAAATTTTTAGGCTGGTGAACGCAGCCCTGGAAGAGGAGCTGAAGGAAATCCACGCGTTCTCCCAGAAGACACTGACCCCCGACCAGTGGAAGAGCCATCAATCATAGCTGAACTCCGATAAACAAAAAAAAAACAATCATATCACAGACGTCACAAGTATTATTCACAATTCTCTGGATATCTCAACCAGATCCAGTAATTTCTCACAGCAATGGAGTTCAAAGTGTCAGCCCCTGGTAAAATAATTCTGTACGGTGAGCACGCAGTTGTCTACGGTAAAACAGCAGCAGCAGCGAGTTTAGATCTGAGGACAACCCTGGAGTTCAAGGAACTCGACGACGAGGTGATCACTCTGTCGATGCCAAAAGTACGATTGCAAATTAATATCTCCGTTAATGAGATAGTGAATTATTTCCTGTCGAATGACTGTCCAGAGTTCCTGGATCATGAGAATTTTTACCCACACGTGCAGAAGTTCGTCGAGAGAATTGGTTACACGAATCTCCAGCAGAAGCTAGCGCTCGAAGCATTTTTCTACCTTTTGATTGGGATTGCCCAGGTGGAGGGGCTGAGAGTGAGGCCTTTCAGGGTGACGATGGACTCAGCTCTGGCCATTTCCTCGGGCCTTGGCAGCTCTGCATCATTCGCTGTATGCATTGCCACCTGTTTTCTTCATCTGTCTCGGGTACAGAAGAACGAGGTGTCCTGTCTTGATGGCAAGCAGCTGGAGAGCATCTCCAGGTTCGCCTTCAGCTGTGAGAAGATCATGCATGGGACACCCTCTGGAATTGACAACTCTGTATGCACTTATGGATCGATTATCGAGTTCAGAAGGGGTGAAGTTCTTGAGCCCATCTTGGGGGCAAAACAGATGAGAGTTCTTCTGGTGGATACTAGGGTCCAGAGGAGTACGAAAGCCCTGGTTGATAAATTAGGGGAACTCAAGAGGAGATACCCCAGTATCTTTGGACCTGTCCTCGAAGCCATTGATCAGGTGTCCAAGGAAGCTCTTCTGGTCATCAAGAGGCTCAGGAATTTATCAGGAGAAGACGAGGGCATCCACACCAATTATCAACAGTTGATGGTGAGTTCTACCGCTTTTCAAAGGTTCTTCCAACTTTTTTTCTCACGTTCACCTTCTGTTTGTTTATTTAATTAATCAATTTCAGACACTGATGGAAGTCAATCAAGGTCTTTTGGCCACATGTCAAGTGTCTCATCCCTCGTTGGATCGAATCTGTGCTGAAGCTAAGAATTATGGACTAGCTGCTAAATTAACTGGTGCTGGAGGCGGTGGTTATGCCTATATTCTGCTCTTACCAGACACTCCAACAGAAACAATTACAAGTATATCGAAAAAACTTATTGCCAATGGTTACCTCATCACTTTAACGAACCTAGGAGGTGCTGGAGTCCAGCTGCACACATCATGATCAAATTTATCACAAGGTATCATCTAGGCCTCGAGTTGTACATCTGTTTCGATTCATTTCGAAGAAGATTTTTTATTTGAAAAATTTATTTCTTCAGTAATACCACCTTCATACAATTTGTTAATGTATTCTCACTTCTGGACTCGGATGATACCTTCATTATTTATTATTAACATCAGATTCAGGTAAGGTTATCGAACAATCTAGACGTGGGACGTTTGGTTATCGATTTTATACAGATCTACGGGCGGTTTTGATTTATTTACTTACATGATTCAATGGGTCAACTCATTATACAATTCTTTTTGTTTATTTTGTATACAAAATAGTGGTTATCGATGAATTATTAAATTGGATTAAACAAATGTGTTTACTTGTGCTTGACAAATGATTTTTCACAGACGTATGGAAAAATTTTGCAAAAAAACTCTGAGAAACGTTTAAAAATGTAAAAAATTTCTTGTATAAATTAAATTTTTGTTGTAATGATTCGTGTATTTAGAGGATTTAATATAAATAATCGTGACGCTTAATTTAAAACAATTACAATCACTAGTAAACCAATAAATGCACGGAAAAAATTGTTTAAAAAATGATAAAAAGATGAAGGAAGCTTCAATAAAAAATTTATTAAACACAGATTTTTTATAAAACCATAAGTTTCACATAAAATTTTACAATTTGATTTTTTACGACGAAAACGGACACAAGATTTTCTCTACTTGAAATTTTCCTCAATTGTTGTTAAAAAATGAATTCACATGAGTCCAGAAAATCTTACAAAATTTTTCCACACGTTTTTCCTATTTCTCTCCATTTTCAGCTTCATCAGTTTATTTCATCCAGATGCTAATTATGAGTTAATCTATTGAGAATTATGTAGTACGAGTTAATTATTCTACTTAATCTACTGGAGATTTACAGCTACGATAAATACTGCATGATTAGGAACGACGAAATTTAATTTGTTATGTACAAAATCAACAATTAATGCGGCAATTCTGCTCACAATAAATAAGTACTTATATTATAAACAATGCCAGCGAATTACAGAAACCCTGAGGTCTCGAGGATGCAAAATGGGGATTAGCTAAATTAATCACAACAGCCATTTTCTCATTAATATTCACGATGATATTCGCCTTCACACCCAATTATTTATTAAATAGTCATTAATTCAATTATGAAACCATTCAACAAGAAAACCCTTTTACTAAGAAATTCTACTGAATTTCCACTGGAACTCTGAAAATTCTATTGAAATTCATTTCGAATTCTATGAACTAATTCTATTTGTTAGAGATATTTGTCGGAAAATATCTATAAATATCGACATTCCAAAATTATTCCAGGGGATTTTTTCTACAAAACAAAAATTTATGGATTTTTTAAAATAAAATTTCCGTAGAATTTCTTATCAAAAGAGTTTTTCTATTAATTCGTCTCGTGCGAAGTATATTCCAGATTGTTTTAATCTAAAATTCTCCAAGACTATCGAACTATTTTCACTTTTTCTTCTATCAAGACGTTTTCTTTTTTGATTTCCATCACATCGTAATCGACACAAAATAAAAAAGGGAATGCGTCGTGCATTGAAGCATGAGTTACTCACAAACCCCTCAACAAAATAAATTATAACACAATAATTAGGACTAGCTGATAAATAATCTCTCTACCCCTCAACGTTCGAATTGCACTTGAAGGTTGTTCACTTTGTTATTGTTGTTCTTGAATAAAAAAGGATGACACATGCGAAATAATTTCATCAAAAAATCGTAAGTTTTTAAAAAAAACCTTATGATTCTTTAATGAGCTCTTTTCATCCGTAGAAAGATTGAGGATTGAAAGGTGACATGTTAAATGGGTGAACGAGTCGAGAAATAAGAATTGAATGTAAAATGGTGGAATCAGTGATTTCCACGTGATCTCCAGTGATTTTTCATTACATGGGACTCGTTGTGACTCCATTGCGATGATGAAGTGCCCTTTCTCGACTGAGAACAACCTGTTCAGGGTCTATCTCACCGTCTTCTATTCCAATTTCATCGAAACTGTTCCCCACGTGGCACCTCACGTCTTTCTCTTCAAGTTTTGCCTCTGCCAGCCACTCGAATATCTCATTGGTGTACATTCTTCTCTGAAGAACTTCCCGGGTTCTTGGCCGTGAGCCAATGTACGTTGTCGTGCTCTAAAATGAATTCAAATGTTTAAAAAACTCGAATATGGAATATTTAATTTATTTTTTTTACTTTGTTCTGATTAAAAGTTTATTTTTTTGTTTAAATCACTATTCACTATTTTGGTGTAATTAACGGCTAGTAAAACTCATCAATCATCTAAATTATTCATCTTTTTCATAAATTATTATTAATAAACTGGAATTCGCTCGGGTCTAACACTAGTAATCAGTAAAAATCCAGGAATTGAATTAACTCACCCCCACTACGAGCAATCCTCTGAGCTGCTCCAGCAACTGAAAATCTTGAACAATCGACTGGAGCTCATCCCATCTTAGTTCAACCTCTTCGTGCAGCATTTTTTCCTCGTCTCGTTTCGATGTCGATCTTTTGTACTGAATTCGGAACCTGAAAGCCTCCAGGAAACTCGACACAACAATCGTGAGAACAATCATGGTCACGAGGTAAAAAATCATGAAATAAACTCTTGTGTAATGACCAGCAGTGACTGCGTAAGCATTCATCAGGATGAACCAGTTGTTGACAACTGTCAATTCGAAGAGTGTCATGCTACTTGCCATGAGATTGTCGAAGGTATTCAAGTAATAATACCCTAGGGCTGTACTTCCGTTTGCTGAGTATTTGTAGAAATCTTCGACTGTTGTGTTCCTAAAAATAAAACAAAATTCATTCCCAAATTAATCAGGACTTCCCAATATTTTGGATTTATCATATTAAATTATTGACACTGAATTCATCAATAAAATATAATAAATTAATATTAATATAGTAGATTAATTCAACGGTTTAATTTTTGTAAACATTTAATGAAATCTGGAAAATTCCCAGAGAATTTCAAAACGTTTGAAGATTTTTTGTATAAAATTCAATTTCAATTTCAAGATAATTAATAGAACAGATACTTACACACAGCAATTTCTCATGTCATAGCCAGCAAACATTTCCATTCCAATGATGGCAAAGAAATAATACAGAATGAGCATGACGATGGCAGTGGAGCACATCAACGGTGATAAAATAACGAGAGTTCCGAAGACATCTCTGTATCTCTTTTTCATTTTGAATAATCGGAGAAGACGAAGTGGTCGGAAGATCACCAGGACTGTTGCCCCGGGGAAGAGGGTCAGAGCACACGAAGCGACTAGGGACATGATGGAGGCCCCCAGGTCGAAGAGATTCCATCCAGAGCTCAAATACCTCCGCATACCCAATCCCAGGACTTTTATCAAAGCCTCAGTAACGAAAACTTAAAAGCAAATCACGCATTTTTAATTTCAATTCCATCTTCTAATGGAAATTATTTTCAATTCTCGAAATTAGATTTTCCAAGTTTTTCTGGTGTTTTTTTGTATTTTAAAATACGAAAGAAATGAAAGATTTTGAAAATTCTAGTGAACAATTCTAATAAAAAATGTATACAATTTTTTTATCAAGAGAAAATTGGAGAGTTTAAGTTTCAGTGGAAATTTTGATTGATGTTTCGTGGAATTAATGATGAATATTCAAAAAACTGATTGACCATCAATTTTTTTCATTTACTCACATGCACCAAATAAAAGTGTATCCCAGCAGGCGGCAAATCTGTGCGCGGATTCTATCAAATCAGCATTCGATTGGAATAATCTGATAAACATCGCCACTCCATTAGCAACAATAGTGGCATCTGCAAACAAATCATCAAAGTCAACCACTTGTTTTCTAATTTCTCTTTGTTCATTTGAATAATCTCCCAAAAAAAATGATCCTTAATCCCATTATTAATGATCATCAATAATATTATTAGTATTATTAAATTATTATTTATTATTGTTATTGTAATTATGATTTATTAAGAAATGGGAAAAAAATATTCAAAAATATTTAAAAATCAGAGACAATTGATTCTTCTAAAATGCAAGAGGAATAACTCACAGACGAGACTCTCAAAATAGGGCCACATGATTGCAGCATTAGCTCCTGTGCAGAGCATCTGCAGTGGAGGCCATGCTGTATGATACCAGGGGATTCCCGTGAATTGTGGCTCCCACTGAAGTGTCGTGACATCATAAACCGATAAAAATTCCTCGCAGCTCAGTGCACCACTGCCTGATGCATTCATATGCCGAAACATGAGGATGACATCAAGAGTGCTCTTCTGGGGTGCGTAGTACCTCATAAGCCCCTCAAACTGACGGAATCGCATTTTGTCTGGATTCTGTTTGGATACCAGCAGTTTGAAGGCATGTTGACAAGCCCTCCTCTTGTGGAGGAAGAGTTTCTTGAATTTGTCACGTTCAGCTGATGTGAATGTCTCGTTCACCACCGCAAGCATCAGATTCATCATCACGTACAGCATTGTGCAGAGATATGTTACGAAATATATAGCGTACCACTTGCTGCGGGAGTACGACGGCATCATTACATCGGGAAAACTGTAATTTATGTACAATTATTATTATTACTATATTATAATCATTAAAAAAAAATCTACACTCAATTGTTAATAAGGCCCCTCCCATTTATGAAACAAATTTGAATTTTTATCTGTAGACTCAATGAAAATGGAATTATCGATTAAAAACAATTATATGAAAATGAATAATAATTAAATATGAAATATCATTAATATTTGTCCATAATGGCGGGTGTGAAGCGCTCGAAATACGCTTGTTAATAATAATTAATTAATATTCATTGATCACTTAATTGATAATTTCGTGGATAAAACGAGAATTTTTCATACATAATGTTGAATAACGGAATAATCAAAAAATAAATTAGTTCCCAATTTCTCACATCCTTTTTTTTTATTATTTATCATTATTTATAATTCCTTATTTGCTGGAAAAGGCCTTGCATTTATTTTGAAGTCGATTATTATCTCATCTTGACTGCAGACGTAGTGTTTAATGAGAAAAATATATTTATCGGCAATTATTCGACCCTGTAATTAGCCTTGCGTTATTTGAACATCTAGACACAAAGAATAAATAAATAATTGAAGATTTAATTGAATAATAATCCTTGGGAAGATCGTCACTTGAAGATCATGCGCCAATCAATGAGTTATGAAATATTGATTAGAATAATCTCGTGATTAGCTTTGTCTTATCACGCTGTATCATTCCGTTGCTCATCTATTATTTAGACTATAATTAGTCCCAAAAATCGATTGATCGATAGTCTAAATATCAAATAATTCATGATTTCGCATGGAGAATCCGAAATTTTATAATTATTCTATTCTGTTTTATTTTATTCTATTTCATTCTAGATAATTGAGAGATAAAGAATAATAACAAAATCACCAATTGATGAATACATTTTTTAAGTAGAAATTGAATGGAAAGATGCGATATAAGAGCAATTCCCCATTTGTTTAGAAAACTCCACTCACTTGGCTGTTGTTAAAAGTACAAAAAGGCTGACGAAACTGTCCTGCAGTGTGCCAAAGTTCCTGTTGCCCTCGGAGAACATGAAGTACCCGAGTACCATGTAAGTGGTAATGAAGAAGAGAAGCAGCCCCAGCATGTCGAGGATAGGTGGCAATGTCTGTAGAATTTGACGGATAAATCGTCGGACACCCCCGCAGTATTTCGTGTCCACCAGGAAAATTGGACGCAGGGCACGCGTCACTCGCACGTGAGAGGACTGACGAATTAGAACTGTCGTTGCCTCCAAGAACATTATTCCCAGGGTGATGCACTGCAAAAGTTGTTGAACTAAACAATTAATTCTGTAATCCCCTCTTAACGTGATTAAAATTTCAGGAAATCCGTTGGGACTTCACAAGCTATTGAGCAACATGACAGCGAATCCTGGAGACTGCAATGGTAAAACTAAAGAGATTAATTATAAGTATAATAAAATACATTATTACAATTTAAATAGAAGTTATAATTCGGTTTTGATACGAAAACGAAAAAATTGTGATTCATACAGATTGTTCGTCTCAGGGAAGAAAGAAAATGTCAATAGTAATTTAATAATAATGAACTTTTGTAGAAAAATAGAATGAAATGAAAAATAAAATAAAATAGAATACAGAACTGAATTTTTTATTTAATAAATTATCGAACTGGTTAGATCCAGGGCAAACCGGATCGATCCGGTAATTTAATCCACAAAAGACGATTTAATATCACCGCAAATTGTCTGGTTGAATGGATCACATGCATATGTAATAAGTTTATCCCAACTGATCTGGATTATTCCTGTATCAATCTCCGATCCCCATTAAGCGTTTGTTTTGGTGAATTATAGAATATTTACAAGGTTTTCAAAACAGTTCTGCAAATTTTATTATTAAAATTTCGATATGACAATTACTAATCCAAAAACATGATGATTTGATATGAAAAATTATTTATATTAAACTTTATTGTATCATAGCTGAATTGGTAAGAGCGTCCGTTTCACAATCTGGACTTCGCAAGTTCAAACCTGCCACTAGACAATACCAGATATTTTCTCATTTAAGAAAAATCGTTTTTTTATTTTTAATAAAAATGATTATTTGCTCATTTATTTCGTCTGTGATCAATTCGTTACGAATTTTATTTACTATTCAATTATTGATTGATAAATTGATATAATTTAGGTTATAAAAAATGAAGGTGTTGGATATGCAAAATAATTTGAATGGAAATAATTAATATTTCCATTGAATTTTACCTTTAACATTGTCCTCTTGTGTTTGAGAATTGTGCCCCAACCAATCCAACGAAGTTTTAATGCCAACTCCACTCCAATTGTTAATAACGCCAGAAGCTCGATGGATCCATGGGCCCAGACTGGTAACTAGAATTGAATAAAACAAAAATGATTTATTATATTATAAAATTATTTATTATATTATAAAATTATTTATTATATTACATTTTCTACATCCAATCGTTCCGGATCTATAATTTACTGTTTCATTCCGAAATCTTTTATTTTCTTGGAGTATCTCTGAAAAATCATTCAATCGCCCCTTACGATTTCTCTATAAATATTTATTCGTTAATTTATTATAGAAGAAGTTCATGAATTTTCAATTTCTACATGAATTCTAGGATCACTGCAATTTTTTTCAACGCGAGGTTTTACGAAATATCTCGAAATTTGAGGAGAACAGCGAAATTCCCATGAATATCTCTTTCAACTCTCATTTGTATCTATAAAAAATGTAATAATAAAAAAATGCACGTGTCGTAATTAGCAGCAGGATGATTCTGTCGAGAATTGTTTATCGGAAAAATTCTTGAAAATTAATTGAATTCAGACCTGGAACAGAGGGACAGCTGGTTCTTCGACAAAGGCTAAAGCCAGGAGAATTAATGAAGTGAGAAGATCAAGACCGTAGTACCAACTATTGTGAACCAGAAGATAGGCTGGAAGATCCTCCGGATGTCTCGGATGAGAGTCGAACTTCTCATTGTTTCTTCCTTCCTAAAACCAATTGATACTCATTAAAATATCGAAAAACTATTCGAAATGACGAATAGTTTGATTTCTCCGCATTAAACATTATCGAACTGGGAAAATTACCAGACCGATTTAATTACTGATTTTTCATTTGAATTATCGCTGTATCTGCATTAATAATTAGTAATTGTTCCCTACTAGCTATGGAAATGAAAAAAATTGGGATTTTTGCGTGATAGGGGCTTATTGTTGTGGCATGGTTATCGCGTTTTGGTGGAGTGAGACAAGTGCAATGGAAAATGATAAAATGTGGAGGAGGAATGGGTGAATTATGATGGAAGCTAATGAATTCCTGGAGTTTTCCACTGTGGAAAAGAATAAATCCTCTGTATTTTGAGAACACCTGAGTACCTTCTACAATTTCGCGTTGATAAAATCAAAAATCCCACGATTCTCAATTATTTATCCATTAAATTCTCTAAATAATTGGAAAACTCATTATTCAAATGAGATTTCCTGTTCGAACATCCGGTTCGCTCAGTTCTCGAGGAATATCTCCGAATACAATAGAAATACCAAAATTTTTATCAGAATCTTTTTTATAGCTCTCATTTCTCTCCACAAAAAAGTTCATAACAAAAATTTCGGTATCTCCCTTAGACTCAGAGATATTCCCCGAAAATTCGAGCACCGGGTGATTGGAATTGAAAAAATTAACGATGGATGAATAAAAAAATAATAACAAATGTCTTACTTCCAGGAAAATGGCAGCTTCATGGTAATTCATCTCCCAGTGCATATCTGCATCCATGAGGGCTGTCTGCCTGTCAAAGGCTGCACTCTCTGTGAGATCATCGCCCTCGAATCTCTGATTCCTCTGACTCAAATCATTTGGCGAAGTTGAATCTTCTCTCGGTGCCATCCTCAATCGAGTCTCTGGAGAATCGCAAGACAACATAGATCCATACTCTAGAAGAACAGACAGAAAGCACAGGAAGCATGCAGCTAACAAGCTTGTGCAGAAAATAATTAGACTTTCAAAGCAGCTCTGCCCTTACGATTAATAATCCCCAAACAAATTTCAAATCCTCGACTCCAAAACGAAAATTCCTCCCATATATTTTGTTTAAAAAATACCAAAATTTATAATATCACATAAAATTCTATGGATTCATATTGAAACTCATAATATTCTCTATTTTTTATGCAAATCTGACGGAATCTAACCAATAATTCTGATATAATTTCACATATTAAAATATTAGTTACATTTTATATTTAAAAATTCAGTGAATAAAGTGAACGCGAGATTGAATATTTAAAAAATTTCCAATTGTTAATCCGGTGTTTAAAATTTTTCCAATCAATTTTATTGGATTATTGAAAATTACTGCAATTTTACCAGAGGCTAGAGCTTCTTTGAGAGATTTACCATCACCAGACGAAAGAGAAATGTTAATCAGACTTCCAGTTTGTTATCTCATGTCTTGAATTAACAAAAAACCAATCTTCAGTTTTTATCTAGAGCAAACATGCGGCGATGACAGCACGTGGGGGTCAACAACTGGTGCGAATAAATCATAACTGTACAGGGGAGAGATTTGTTTATTGAAATTTTTATAAAAATTAACGGAATTGTTTGAATCTTTCAAGGATTTGTGGGAGTCGAGGGGAGTTTAAATATTTTCATGAGGTTGTTAATAATTGAGAGCACTGGAGAGCACTTGCATAATGGAATATGAAATTAGTACAATCTACAAAGCACTACTGGAAGTACACCTAGAGTCCAAGCTAAAATCCCTCCTCCAGAGGAAGATAATTATGTCATAACACAACAGCTAATGACTACAAAGGAAAAACGTGATTTCTCAATTCTAAACAATCACCAAACACCAACTTCCGCTGATTTTTTTCAGCCGTGGAAATCGTGTCGACAGATTCTGTCAAATTTTGATGGATTTATTATTTATTTATTTATTTATCGTAATCTGTCATAATATCACTGATTACAACAACTAGTAAATTATGGAATCTGTCAAATTATTAATCGATTCATTACTTAACAAATGCTTTCATTTTTTTACTCTCGATTCGAACATCTGAGGACTAATTGTCACACAATTTTTCGGATTCTAAATTTTTTGCTTTTTTTTTTTTCATTTTTTATTGTCATTGTCAGATTTAATGACATTCTGTTGATTTTAGAGATCACGGATTTTGTAAAAAAAAGTTTGAAGACATGATTTTGTGTCAAATTCTGTCAATTTATTTCGAAAATCGTAATACCTTATTTCGGTTCTTGAAAATTGACAGGAGCTGTCAAACAAATTTGATATAATTTAACAGAATAATTAATGGCATATTTTATTCTAAAGTCCGAAAATGTGATCACATAAAATTGACTAAATTATATAACTAGATTTTATACACAAATCTGACAGAATCTGCCAAACAAATCTAATACAAATAGACATATTACCGAAGTTTGACAGGAGCTGTCAACCCTTCAATAGAATTTAACAAATAATACATAATTCAAAAATCCGGGATATTTATCAAGAAAAAAATTCTAAAACCCACAACATCATTAAAAATTCTGTCAATTCCCATAAAAATACAAAAAATTCACAATTCCCATAAAAATACAAAAAAATTTACAATTCCCATAAAAATACAAAAAAAATTTACAATTCCCATAAAAAAACAAAAAATTCACAATTCCCTCCCCAAACACCCCAGGATCAGATTTCCACGAGTTAAAATGGAGGTATAAACCAAAAAGTATAAAAAAACGAAAAAAGTCCTGAAAAAAATGAGATACTCACTAGGACTGGTGCTACCGTACCCCTCGGCTCCATAATTAGAGTATGAGTCCTCGTCGAAAACTTGATAATTACTCGCAGTTGGTCGCTGATAGTTCGAACTCATTTGTTGAAGAAGCAGATGGACTCGCTGGTTATTTATTAATTAACGGGTCCGATGGATTGGATCTCATCGAGATAAAAAAAATACGGGACGATTGAAGGCTCTGATGACAGAGTCAACCGACCACTGATGCCATTACGATATCCATAACTTACATTGGGCTTTATTAGTCATGCACTGGGTGTTGCGTGGGTGGGAGATGGAAATGGTGGTGGTCATTATCTCTCAGCTGCGCAGGCTGACAGGTGACGTCATCAGTGTGACAGGTGACGTCACGTGTGTCAAATTTTTCTTGAAACTACCGCCAATTCCGTAGAATGCATTGGGATTTTCCATTATTCTTTAATAATGCATTCTCTCCACAAGTGATAAAAAAAAAATAAGAGTGAATGCAAAATGGACACTCAGGGCAAAACCGACAACGTGACGATTTTTTTAAAATTACAAATATAATCTGTGAAGAAAAAAAAGATATTTCTGTAAAAAAGACATGGGAACTGAATTTTAAAGGGGGAATCTTCGGGGATTTCCACTGATATGTCGTTTTATCGGACAGTAACATTTTTTTAAACTTCATGTCATGTGGCGTTAATGAATGTTTTGAATTAAAGTCATGAAGTCATGAAAAATGTCGCAGGATTTTCACTCTGACCCCAGGACGAATGAAAATGCACAAAGGGTACATTAAATAAATAATTCCAACAGATTCCTCGGACCATATGAATTAAATCTAATTTCCGTTTGGAATTTCTGGCTTCAAGATCACAGCCTCCACAAATAAATTCTCGATAAAAGTCCCAAAAAGATACGAATGTTAAATGCATTAATCAGAAGAATTCTCCAACAATTGAAATTCTCTGTAAGAAAGGTTGAGCAGAGCAGGTGATGACCTGATAATCCCCAGCGAGAGTTGAATTCCTGGGGTAGAGATTGAGCCTTCGAATTTTTTCGAGGAGAGCCTGAGGGACGAAAGGTTTCCTCAGGAGCTCCTCAAATTGTGAAGTTTTCGTTGAGTTTCGAGGGTCCGGACCCCTGGCCTGCTCCTTAGATTCAGACTCAGCATCACCTCCGGTCTCATCCTCGGTCTCCACAACGACCGCAGACCCCTCGACATCACTAGTCGCATTCTCCCCAGGATTTTCCTCATCAATAACCACCTGGACTCTCCTCTTCTCCTCCTCCTCCTTCAATTTGATATCGATCAATCTATCAATCTCCACAGTGTTCTCCTGGGAATCGTCATCCTGGAGAGTAGCAGAGACGAATCTCCCCATCACTGATTTCCTGTCGTTGAAGAGACTTTGGACTGGCCTGCAGCAGCTCAGGGCTCCAGGATCGATTGGATGGGCCTCCGTGTTGAAGACGTATCCTCCAGCGTCCACCACACACTGGCCCCACTGTGTCCTCACCACCTCACCCACCTGCCCATTATTGTGGATAAAATTGTCAGTGTCAAATAACAAATAAAGATACTTCGTCGTTTCAGCGAGAAAAAATGACTCCATCCTGTCAGCTTTTTTGTGATCCCTCACGTCATTTATCGTGGCGTAACCACATGACGTCTTGGCACTGTGTTGGAGACTCCTGAGAATATCAACCCCAAACTGAATCAAAAACGGATCCTTCGTTGCTCGGTACAAATACATAACGGACTCGATGAGCTCAGGCCTCAGTGGATAGCTCTCCCTGTTGGTTCCAGCCTCGCCCTGAACAATATTATAAAACTCCGGTGTAAATCCAAACTGCTTCCACACTTTGTGATAATTATGCAGTGATTTCATGGCGTCGTCGATCTCTCCGAAGAGACTGAGAACTCCAGGCCAATATGCATCGAGTGATTGAAAGACGGGAAGTGTCACCTGTCCCTCGTTCATGGAGACCCACAGGTGCCAGTCCCCTTTTCTCACGTACGTCTCAATGGCTCTTCTGAATTCATGGAACATGTTCCCGAGGAAGGGCTCTTGGAGGAGAAGAGTTCCCTTTGCCAGGTACTCGAAGTAGGAGTCAACACCAGCACCAATTCCAGAGTCTGTGGCTGTCCAGTGGCCTGTCACCACGTCCACGTGATTTCCAACTAGTCCAATCTTCGATCTGTTGATTTAATTGGGTTTTAATTATTCAATTATTTTTTTTAATCATCTATTTACTATTGCAATTTTTTTTTTTAATATTGCAAAATTAAAAATTGCAAAGTACCTAGGAAATTTATACAAAAGGTGCGGTAGGGTAATAAAAAAATCATGAAATAACTCGTGCAGATGTTGAAAACGCGATAAATTTTTTTGACAGTTAAGGGGAATCACCTGTGGAAGTGGAGGGCCTTGACCGCATTCATAGCGACTTCCTCGTAGATGGGATCCCCAGTCAACCGAGACAGAGTGCCAAATTCCAGGACAAACGTGCCAATGCCTGCGGTGCAGGTGATGGGAGTCTCTCCCTCAGGTACTCCATACTTGAGATTTACAGTGCCATAGGGCATTCCTGTCGGGGTGTCGAAGGCTGGAAGCAGTCGTCTTGCCATGTCCTCAGCAAGACGAAGAAGAGGACCATTGCAGGGCCATCCTGGTTCCAGCTTCACTCCAGCCTTCCTCGAGAGCAAGTGAGCTGACAGGAGACCACCAACTACTCGGATATTCGTCTCGAAGACTGAGACATTTATGTTCGCCTCGAAGTTCTTCCTCGAGGAGATTATCTCGGCGACTCGACGGAATTCTGTGAAATTACCCATAACCGCTAGGGTGTCCAGGGCGTCTATCAGCGTCAGGGAGAAGCTACCCCAGGTGTCGAAACCGTCGCAGCTCAGGGAACGCAATTCATCGAAGGGATAGGCGTATCGCAGGTAACTCGAGTACGCGTGATCGAACATCGATTTTACTTCCGTTTTCAGGTGCACCAGGTCCTTTTTCTGGTAGGAATGCGATGAAGAGAGCGTCACGGCGCAGGTGAACACCAGGAGGTGTGGGAGAATCATCTTCTGGGGGAGAAAATAGATTTTGTATTTTTAGTGTACAAAGATGGATTTTTATCCATTTCTGGAGTTTTTTCGTCTTAAATAAGTTAATACTCACATTTTTGTCTTTCTTCTGAGCTTCAGGTGATTCAGGGCTGATGTCATAACTGGTTTTTTATTTCAATAAATCCCTATGGTTTGATTTATAACGGTTCGTCTTTCATTCTTGCCGTTGATTATTCTGGCAATTCGGTGTTAGATCTGACGTTTTTTTATTAGTTGTCCATTCAAAACAGTCCACGTTTATCAAAAATCCAAAATTTGAGGTTAAACTCGAGAATTGAACTTGACAAAAACGCGACCAATGAAAAGCGCGGGTTTTAACAAATTCGCCAATGGGAGACAACCGCGGGAAAATACCGGGAATTTGAATTCGATATTTTTTTTCTATTGGACATTTTTTCGAAAGTTGTGAAAAATCAAAAGTAAAAAATTGAATATAAATAGAAAATGACAATCAATTGATAGAAGGAGAAAAAAGTTAGAGTTCGATTGGAATTTATTTTGTTTAAGTAACAAAATTACTTCAGTGTATTTTATTGAAATATTTAATGATTTTCATATAGAATATATGAGTCCAGAGAGATTGTCTTTACATATTGAAGGATATCGTAGATTTTTGGAGAAGTTTTGATTGATTCAATCAATCGTTGCAACGGTCTTTGGTTCAATCAGCACTCGCTTCCGTCAATTCATTTTTCCTAGGTTTCACTAGATTTCCTAATACTATCCCTGCGAATAAAATTAATCCTATTGTACTGTTGGAGATGAATTTCCTGGCGCAATCGTCTGGATTGTCAATCTGCAATGTAGATATCTGCGGGAAAATAATTCGGATTGAGTAATGGAATATTTAAATTAAAAATGTCTGAGTGTCAATTTTACTGGAATTCTAGAGTAGAAATTTTATTGGGATTGCATTCTTGGAATTCTTTTGAGAAATTTGAGGAATCATTTTTACTGATTGAGTGACGTATTCGATGAGAAAAAAACAGAGGATTTTTAGTTTTTTGTAATACCATTACCTGATTTACTAGATGACCAGCAACGAGGGTAACAGCAGTATAATATGGCCACGTCTGATCGGACATAATTCCCGAAGTAATTAGACTACCTATCATCGACGCTCCAAATCCAGACAAATATAAATTCGTCTTATCCCCAAATTTCAGAGCAGTGGATTTAATTCCCAGGAGGATATCATCGACTTTATCCTACAAATTCCGAATAAATTAATTAATCAATCCAAATTTCCTAGATTTAACTTCATTTTCTTTCAAACGTCCTCCAAAAATCGTTAATAAATCAATTTCCACGCATTTGATATCGATTTAAAAGACTAATTTAATATTTTTGAAGATTAAATCATTGTAAAATGATAAAAAATTATGAAAATTGATCTGTTGGATGACTTAAAACAAAAATGTTAATATTGAATGAAAGACTACCTGATGGGCATAAATCGTGTCATACAGAATAGTCCAGCATATTCCAGCAGTATATAATGGCAAGCAGATGGACCAATCACAAGAGCCCTGGACTGCTGACCAGCCCAGCAGTGCTCCCCAGTTGAAAGTCATCCCGAGGATCAACTGAGGCCAGTAAGTCACCCTCTTCATGAGTGGATAAATCACAACTAAACCTGATATTAATAAAATTACTCTCAATCTTCTGCACTGGCACGTTTAGTTCACCTGGCAATTTTATTATTTTATCGTTGGAAATTATGTAATGAATATTTTCAATAGATAACGGACCAATCAATTAACAATATTCTCACCTAATGAACTAGCTCCAAGAAAAACGCTGTACCAATTCAGCTGGAGTAAAATAGCAAGTCCAACGCTGAGTTGTCCCCCGAGGAAAACCAGAGACTGGAATTGCGTCACATCGCCAGAAACGAGGGGTCGATTTTTTGTTCTGGCTACCTAACATTTAGTATTAGAACTCTCTAAGATTATTTTTTATTAAAAAGCCTTAAAACTGGACTCAATACTCGAGTTGCTCTTTAAATGGATGAGGAAAGGAAAATAAAGGAAAGGAAAGGAAAGGAAAGGAAAGGAAAATCTCAAGTTGATCCTGTAAGACTCTAGTAATCTCAATCTCCAAAGAAATTCTCTGATAGTTTAAATTCAAAATTGACTACCTTTTTATCGATGTCTTGATCCCACATGTCGTTGATAGTACAACCAGCCCCTCTCATTACGAATGCTCCAAGACCAAAAAGGGCTAGGATGTTGGGATCTGGAAGACATCCTGGAGCAGCTGCCATTGCGATGCTCCAGCTGCAGGGCCAGAACAGCAGCCAAGACCCTATCGGCTTGTCGATCCTCATCAGCTTCATGTATGGCTGAATCTTTGGAGGCGAGAGGTCAACTATTTTTGCAGCAACACTCACTGATCTCTTCTGCTGATAATTCATTCCATTATTTATCCTGGATTTGTGGTTGAGATCGGTTGGGAGAACTGATATTGTGTGGACACGTGTGATATCCGGGGATTTGTATCGAGAGTGCCTCCAGGGGTTTGTCCTCAACAAATTCGGGAGTCCAGGAAACTTTTGGCATGATTTTAGCATCAGCATTGTGAATTCTCAATCTAAAATCTGACAATTATAAAAAAGATTATCTATTTATTATTTATAAGTTGCAGGTTCTGATGAAAGGTTTAGTATTAAATATTTCGCAGAAGTAGATGAATTTTTAGGTGGACTTAGATTAGTAATTGGTAAATTTTTAATTGGCAATTCTCGGTTCAGTTGTAAAGAACTAATTAATCTCTGCAAAATTATGGGGATTGGGAATTTAAATTGTGATTAGCAGAGACTTCAATAGGGAAATTGGAAAAAATATTATGCAACCCGCGACATCAAAAAATCATTTTTTAATGGATCTTCGAACAATCTTTATCGATGAATAAATCATGAGAAATTTAATCTTCTCTTGCGAAATGTTTTCTTTCCTCAACGTCTTCAATTTACATTAGCATTTCAAATCGATTAATAACAAACTTGAAAGAGACTCAAAAATTTATTGTTCCTTTATTATTCTTGCAATCGAGCCTCAATTATCAATAACAATTGTTATTGATGATTTTTCAAGGACTACTACGTCGATTCCAAAATTATTACTTCTCGTAGGAAAAAGTTATCAGACGATGAAAGAAAAATGATTCGAGAAGCAACACAGAAATGAAAATTCACTGTTAACGCAAAATTTTGGAATTTGAGATGTCATTATCTGGAAATATTACAAAGTATGAGAATTCACGGGCAAATAAATTTCCGGCACCTCTAACCTCTCATAATTATATGATAAAACATAATTTTTCTCAAGTACGCAATAACAACACGTAACAAGTCTAAATTTTATTGCTTTGAATGTTTCTTACCTAGCGTGCGGATGTCATCTCTCGCCGGATAACTTCCAAACATTGAATTTATTACATAATGATTAAAGTGATCAACATCATTACATCCAGTTGTCATGCGTCAGACGATTCGAACACGCGGATATGTAATTTTTTCTCGATCAATTGTCGATATTGTGTGAAGTGCGATATTTCGTATCGATACACGTTAATCGATCATTAGTTTCGACGCCAATCGATATATTGTGGTTCGATTATCGATTTATTATGAACAATCGAGAGGGGCATAAACATATTCAAAATTGAGGTTTCGATATTTTCAATTGTTGATTTTTTTCGTTTCGACTTCGATTAATCGATTCTCGTCCAATAGTCTATTTTTGTCTTCGATTAATCGATTTTTGATTAATAATCGATTTGTGTCCCCTGCATTGAAAGGGCAAAAAACAATTTTTTTTCATTCATTTCGACTTCGATTAATCGATTATCGCTCAATAATCGATTTATTTAAAAAAATAAAATAAATGCTCAATTGATTTCTTTTCAATAACAAAAAAAACATGTCCACACCATATGAATTATTTGAGTAATCGCGATAATAATAAGAACAAATATCAGCAAACACTGTTCAATTATCAGAGTAATCCTGTAAAAATCATTATCCCCATTCTCCGAATAATACCTGCACTGACTCCCGCAGCACTCCAAACCACCGGACATCCTCTCCACAAAAGTTCTTTCCATCACCGACTCGAAAAAAAACACCGAAACACCAGTCCCCACGTGTGCTGGTGCAGCAGACACCGGTAAAACCTGGCAGTAATAATGAAAAAATCCAAATCCCAAGACAATTCCGAAATCCTTGATAAATGAAAAATCCACAAGCCACAACAAGCAATCCTGCGCAACGAATCCTACCATCAGATCTACAATTCTCCATCAAAATCCTCCCAGTCCCTGAAAATGATTTTCCCGAGGTTATTATCAGGTAAAAAAAAATTAATTCCACTCCCCGATGAATTCATCAGGGGCATCCAGGGGAATTGGTCAGCATACCTAAATAATCAGCTCAACCTCTTAGCGCCTTTAATCAGATGTACGTTGGTACCTCGAACAGTAACAGTATAATTTCCAGGACTGAGACGATTATCTGGAATTGCCATGCAAAAACCAGAGGTAGTGTTCATCCTGGGGGGACCTGGCTCTGGTAAAGGTACGACGTGTGCTAAAATCGTGGAGAAAACTGGATATGTCCACCTGTCAGCTGGTGATCTACTCAGAGAGGAGCGAGCTAAACCTAATTCTCAATTTGGACAGCTCATCGAGGAGCACATCAAGAATGGAACTATTGTTCCAGTGGCTATAACTTGCTCTCTTATCCATCAGGCCATGAAGACGAGCTCCAAGAACAGATTTCTCGTTGATGGATTCCCTAGGAATCAGGATAACCTCGATGGATGGACTAAAGTAAGGTTATTTTCCACACAGCAATAAATTCTAGTATGTCCATCGGATTTGTTTTGTTTTGTGCATTTTAGTTCGGGGAAATTCGAATTTTATTGTTTTAACGTTTTTATCCATTCCATCCATCCATTATTTATTTAACAATGAGACTATTTTATTAAATATATCAATCCCCATGATGATTTAATTAGGTTTGTAATTAAGATGGGATGCATTAAAATTACTTCAAATCTTTCTGTAAGGTATTATCTAATTGTTATTTTTATTTTGGAAAGTTATTTATTAAAATTGATTTTCATTTTAAAAAATCATTGTGTCGGTTTTAATTGGAGTTTCAAGATATTTTTTATTTATTGTTAGAGTTCTCCTGAAAGTATGCTGGAATTTCAATATAAATTCCATGTATTTTTTATATTTTTTTTCTTCTCCTTGAGATTTATAGAATTGACAACTGGCCATCACCTGATTTCAGTATTTTTTTTTCTTTATCTCTATGGATAATTGTGCAATCTAGTCATAAAAAATCAGCTACAATTATTTGAAGCAAAAAAGTCCCTGAATTTTTCTTTACAACTCACTCTTCTTTTTTATCAAAATCAATTGTTAAACATGAATTTTCTTTTTTTCCTTTCAATTGTACTATTTTTCTTTCATTAATTTTCCAATAATTCTCCACTAATTTCCATTTTCATTCGATTTTTTTTAAACAATTTTTTCAAGCCGACTAATTATTTTTTCTATTCCTGAAAATTATGCAACCGTTGAAAAATCTTTGCATTGATACGAAATCGCTGAATAATTCCAGATAACAAGTCACCACGAATCTAATTGGTCTAGTCGTCGTAATTCAATAGTCACGACTATTTTTCATTTTCTCTACGAATTTAATTAGCAATGAATAATAAAAATGCATCAGCCATCGAAAATAATCTCGCGTGGAACGAAAATATCAAAGAAAATAATTTCTTGTATTCGAAATCGTAAAATCCCGACAAATTTCTATAAAAAATGATAATCCATTGAATCAGAAAAACGAAATATTTTATATAAAAAATTTCCGGCTATTTTACATAATTTTCTATGGAATTCTGCGAATGTAATTTCAATCATTCAGATTTTTTATAACTCTATTTTTTTTACTCGAATGAGTCAGTAATTAATCACTCGATAGATTATATAGAATTTAGAGTTTGTCTAGAGTTTTCCAAAACAACTGGGCAATTTAACGAGTTCAATAACCCAGGGATAAGTCCACAAATAAAATGTTATCCCATTAAAAAAAATTACAATGTATTGAGTTGTCAAAACGAAATATTGTCCATGAAAAATTATTTTTTCGATTGATTTACATATTTTTCTATGGAATTCTACGGAAATTAAGTCGTTTCAATAATTCAGATTTCTTATAACTCTATTTTTTTACTGGAATGAGTCAATAATGAATCATTTGATAGATTATATCGAATTTTTTTCGCCTAGAGTTTTCCAAAACAACTCAGTAATTTAACGAGTTCAATAACCCAGAGACTGGTTCACAAATAAAATGCTATCTCATTGTTCATTTCAATAATTCTTCATTATATTTATGACACAGAATATCTCTCACCTGTCTACACAATATTTGTGTAATCACTGATGGATTACGCGCCCTTTTGATTTTCCCCGCAACCACAGAAAAATCCTCACTCAATAAAAATTGATTTATTTATTTATTATCCCAAGAGAAACAATCACTTTATCAATTAAAATGGAATAATTTTCCTCTCACATAGAGAGAAATAGTGAAATTATTTCACAAGTGAAAAATTCTGTTAAACCTGGGATTCGAGGAAAATTGAAATATTGCTCGAGTTTATCGAGAGCGGTGGAAAAAATATTTATAACAATTTTACTATCACCTTTACGCACAAAAAAGGAATGATAACAAAACACTCGAAACGTCGACCTTCGATGACTGAATTTTTCCGCCTCTCCAGAGGGCAATGACTCGGGAAATAATCACGAGGACGTCATGATTCTCGAGAGGGAAAATTAATTGCCAATTAATCAAATTAACTGTATGTCATATTTAAAAATCTATGAAATATATTTTCCCATAATTTCACAATTATTGTCAATTTCCAGAAACAAATGATTACATTTGAAAACCGGAAAATTGCATGTGATTACATATTTCATTAACAAAGTCATTTGAATTTTCATTTATAATTAGATTTTAAGTTGAATCTCAATTAAAAACAATTTTGTTCTTTACGTGCAATCATAATTTGATTGAGGATAATTATTTAATTATCATAATTGGATAATTTGAACAAAGGACCCTTTTTGGGGCCCAAAGTGGGCCACATTTCAAGTGTAATTTTCAGTGTATTATATTTAATGTTCTTCTTGTGATTTTGTCCTCAGAATATGTCCGACAAGACCATTGTGAGAGCAGTGATTTTTCTGGAGTGCAGCGCAGAGGTGTGCACCAAACGCTGTCTGAATCGTGGACTCCAGGGCAGTGGCAGGAGTGATGACAACATGGAATCACTTGTCAAAAGACATGAAACCTTCATCAAGGACACCATGCCAATGGTGAAACACTTCGAAGAGCTTGGTCTACTCTGGCGATTTGACTCTGAAAGATCTGCAAACGATGTATTCGATGATGTCTACAAGAAGCTGAAGGAAATCGACTGGGTCGAGTGAATTACTTTCATTACTTCAATTACGGCATTATTTTGATCATGTAGCGGTTTATTTTTTATTCTCTTTGGGGGAACTCGGTCGATCTTGCCTCGGCATTAGAGTCCAAAGAATATTTTTGAGGTGCTTATACACATTCCCTGGTGAGAGGATTTGAGAAAATATCAGGTTCATGTTTTGGTTTTTGAGCAGTGAATTTTGAAAGGATCAACGGTCTGGATCATGTTTGACCGAGTAATTATTGTAATGCTGTGGAAATATATTTCTAGCATTGGGAATTATGAATTGTTTATTACCCTGGTCCTTGGTCTTTTTTAATTTCAGGTGGAGGGCGAGGTTTTTTTTCAGTTTTTAATTTGTTAATTGTTGGTCAGGTTGTTTAGGATTTATTACGGATTATTTGGGAATAAATATTAGTGCGATTAATCAATCAATAAACAGCATGAAAGACCAATTATAATTTCATTCTCTATTTAAAAGCACGGACTCTTTATTTTTTATTCTCACTTCTTTTCAGCTTACATGCATTTATGTTATTTATGCGCCAAAGTTTCAGATGAAAAAGCAAGAAAAAAAAAACGAGATAATCAGATACTCCAATCGGGCCTTAAATATTTCCTCCTTTATAAAAAAAATAAATGGTAAAAATGCGGGTTTTTTTTTCAATTAAACCCATGTAACCCCTTAATAAAATTTATAACAAAATTTGAAATTCTAATATTTTTTCCAAAAAATTAATTATTGTAATTAGTTTCTTATAAAATCCATGACAAGTGCGTTGGATTCTCTAATTCTAGAATTATATTGTTTTTATTCTAAAAAAGAATAATTATTGAATAATTGATTACAAAGATTATTTAAAAAATTGTTGAATGGTTAAGACTAAATAAAATAAATAAACTAAATGGAGTGACAATAAAAAAATTGTAGAAATGATAAATAATGAAAAATTTTATAATAAAAAGGGGATTATTTAGTTTGTAATAGAAACAATTGGTCTGGGGAAGATGAATGGTGAAATTGAACTTGAATTTGAGTCCTGAAGGGTACGATGAAATATTAGATTGGATTCGATTATTATGAAACTTGGAAAAGGAGCTTTCACGCGTTAATGGTTTACTGACCTTTCACCATTCGAGTTCAAAAGAAATCTGGCACAGCATCGTTAATTTCACGTAGCAACCCGAAAATTGCCCAATTGTATGTTACACCGTTGGTGAGAGCTGGAGTCACAGTAACGACTGGTTTTACCTCATTGCTCCTGTTGATTCAATGTCTGAATTAAGGAGTTATCTCCCGACTGGAATGCCAGTTCGTTAAAATCATTCACCTTTTACTTCGATTGACACTAAAAAATGTTCACTCCTTTTTTTTCGCGAAAAAAAAAAAATTTCACTTAATTAAAAAATAATTTTAAAAAAATCGCTAATTGAAAAAATCGCTAATTGAAAAAATTGCTAATTAGTTTTTTTAACGAATAGATTTGTGATTGATGAGAAAGGAATTGTAATCTTATTTTTTCTCAAAATTTTTATTAATCGCACGATTTTTTTTTTTTTTTGGTTTTAAGAGAATTTTTTTTTTTTGGTTTTAAGAGAATTTTGTTTTTGAAAATTCAATCAATCAAATGATTGATTTTAATTGATCGTTTAAAGACGATTAAAAAATCAGGTTTTTTTGGGATTTTTGATAAAATGAGAATCTGGTTTATTAAATTTTGTGGAAATAAAAAAATTTTGATTGTGTATTGAGAAATTGCAGGTGAAAAATTTTGAGAAAATTTTGGATTTTCAGGAAAATCTTCTGTTTTTATTCGGTAATTTTTCCCTCCGCGAAATGCAACTGCCCCCTAAATTAAATATAGCCTGACATTTTTGGCTCAATTAAAACAGGTGAAAGACCTGTGACATAATACTTGGAAATGGTATTGTGTCGAAATTCCAAAAATATTACCTCTAAAAACGGCATTGAGGCAGGTGAACTGCAGTCTACAGCAACATTAAACACGAAATTATTTTAAAAATATGCGAACGTCCAAGAGAAAATTACAAAATTACAAATTCCTCCCACAATTTTTAATCCGATATTCTCCTATTTATAATTAAAAAAGCATTAATTCATATAATTCCCTCAAAAATCCTCACATTTTTGTTAAAAATTTTGAGAAATCAAAAAAAAAAAATCCAAATCTCACACATTTTTATAGTTTAAATAATTGCATCCAATTTCAATTGAAATCAATTTAAAAAATGAAAATTCCGAAATTGAATTTTTAAAAAATTGATGAGAATAATCAAACAATTAACTCATACCAAAAAAATCATTATACGCATTATACTCCGTAATTATAAGTAGGAAATGATTAATTAATAACATTTAAATAATGAAAAATATAAAATTCAACGTGAGGATAAAAATACAGAAACTGATTTTTGCGGATTGAATTTTATTTGAAAAGGAAGTGATAGAATGAATTTTCAAGTTCCAACTGAATGCCCTTGATGTTAATGAATTAATAAACAATTTTAATCCGATGGTGGGGGAAATAACCGGTGAATAAATGATTAAAGAGAGGATTTCTCGGTGTGCAGTAGTTTGGAATGACCAATAATAGATATTACTAGACGCATTACAAGACAATAGATAGAGATAAAGATCAGAGGCGTCGGGAGGGAATAAACGTGCAATGTTTCTCTTTCTTCCCCGCCATCATCATCATCGAGGCGAGCAATATATAAGAGAATCCGGCATTCTTGACGCGACAGTTGACGTTCGGACTGCCAAATTGTTGTGATCTATATCAACCAGGGAGATCGATCATTGACATCTGATAGATTGGGAAAAATCAGTGATCTTCCTCCGAAGGTCTCAAATAGTAATCATGGATTTACGACTAATCTCGGTTTTATGGTTCAATGGTTTTATTGTTAATGCTGTTGTAAGTGTCAGACCGGAAGAGACTCTCCTGAGGGTGCTCACGGAGCCTTTGGGATTTCCCGGTGATAAAACATCCCCGGAGTGCTCCAGGGATGGCGGATTGTACGCAGGTGCATTGCGCAATTACACACCTTGGGCGCTACAGAGTAAGTGAGAGATTAAATTTCGATAAATTGTGGCCTAGAAATCATAGATCGATAGTCTCAATGAGTTACCGAGAAAAATCCCTATCAACTGAAATTTTCTATAGAAAAACGTCTCCAGAATTTTTTTACTGAAAAAAGTTCCCAGAGATCGAAGTCTATAAATTTTTCTACAGAATAAATTCATATGAAAATTTTCGTAAAAAATCCTATCGATTTTTTTTTATAGAAAAAATATCTATAGAAAGTATATATTGGTCTATAGAAAAATGCCTATCAGTGAAAAAATGGGGATGGAGGCTATAGCGGGTGATAATCTATAAAATGAAAGGAAATTTCTATGAATTTTCGCCTGGAGTTCCTAGATTAAAAATGCAATGGCTATAATAAATATTTTTGTATCGAGAAATGTCTAGTCTCTATAGACGGATGTCTATCAAAGAGAAAATAAAATGTATGGAATTCTATAGGACTTTATAAAGCAGTAATTGGAATTACGAAGAACGATGAATCGATATAGAGTATTTTCTATAGATAAATGTCGAGTTGAACTCGTGTGTGGGTGTTATATATTATATTCGATATATATTATGTACGAGGACAGAACTTGAGGCATAATGTAGTATTTTTATGGAATTTCAAATCAGTAGTCTTCACTGAGGAATTTTATTGGAGTTCTGGTGGCAGTCTATAGGAGTTCTGTTGACAGTCTATAGGAGTTCTATTGAAGTTCTAAGGGAATTCTATGTAAACATCATATTTGATTTTTTCGATCACCTGGAAAGTGGGAGAAAGGCTCGCGTGAAAATCTATAGACCTCTGAGATATTCTACTGGAGTTCTGAACACCTATAGGAGTTCTGACGGAGTTCTCGTAGGAATTCCCATTGCAAATTCCGATTAGTTTCTTCGCTGGTGTTACAGGAGATTATGCACCTCCATCGTGATATTTTGGATAGAGATATTGAAGAGGAACTAAGTCGATAGATTTTTACTATTCTATAAGAGTTCTCTTTGAAAAACGACAAAAAATAACGGTGAGATCCAAAAATATTTCAATCAAAAAATTTCCGATGAAGAAAATATCGAAATGAGTCATATAAAAAAATAATATATTCTATAGCTCTCATTGGGATTTATATCCACGGAGTTCTCAGTAAATTTCAATTGGAGTTCTACTCCCGCTTATTGAAGTTATATTTTCTTCCGATTTCTTTTTTCATCGTTTCTATAGAAAATAAAATTTTCTATATTTTTCTATATTTTTTTCTATTTTTTTATTTTTTATTTCTATTAAAAAAAATTTGTTTTTAGAAAATAAAAGAACATAAAATTTGTGTCAATACGAAAATGGATATTTGGGGGCAGGAAGTCAATAGACTTTTTATTTTTCTTTAGAACTTCTTCGCCGTGAATTTCCGGAGTTTTTTTAATAGATTCTCAACAGAAATTCAATAGAATCTCTTGGACAAGCGTGAGGGTTTTCTATTAAATATTTTTTGAATCTCCCTGAAGACGGATTTAGGGGAACATCTCAAGGAACTTCATGAACTCCAAACAGATTTGACTATTGATTTTCAACAGCGATAATGATGTATCGATAGCGAGAATCGAGGAACTTATTAGGTCTGATAAGGAGCACTAGAGACAATTAGATATTTTAAACCCCTGCATGATCTCCCGCTGGAATAAATTCTTGGGAATTATTATTTTGGTAAATATCTAGGTCAATTTTGAAGAGTCAAAATAAAACCAATCATATCATTTTGTCCCACAATTTTTTATCATCTAAATCGGTCATCAATCTCGCTTTATCTCAAACTGCGCAGGGAGTTGTTAAAAGTATTGAACCGTTTTTTTCACTTAATTATATTAACATTTGCAACAATCATTAAAATGCATAAAAGAATATTCTCGTGAATTGAGAGGAAGTTCTTCTCTCAGAGTGCGACAGCTCCAAGTGGAAAATTCATTACACAATAAAAATTTCTATCTAAATTTCCCTCAAGATTTCCTTCTATCTCTAATGACACACTATCGATAAATCGATAACAGAACAGCGTGAGTACCAAAAAAAATTATAACAAAAAATTAAAAAATACAAATGAAATCTGGAACAGAACTGCAAAAACATAATTATTGTTGAATTAATTTCCTCGGTACTTACACCCTTCTGCTACAAAGCTATCGCTACGATGTGTCAACAGATTATATAATAAATGATCTATTATTAAATTTCCGTAAAATTCCCCTACTCTTCATGTAATTAATATAATTACTCTAATGAATTAATTAATATAATTAAGAGACAATTATTTCCTCTTGAAATGATAAAAAATTGTCAGTTTTATCTTTCCAATGATCCGCCCAACAATTAATCCTTAAATTGCAATTATCTTCAACATTATAATTATTAATTAATTTTTTCCCAATGAAAAGTCATCGAAAAAGGTTTTAACAATTTATAATAATAACAAATATATATCATATACTCCATAAATAATAGAATATATAATATAATATAATATAATTAATATATACTATAATATTTATATTTATAATATAAAAATGATGTCAGTGTCACGTACACATTAATTTTTCAAAAGCAAAATATATTTTTAATAGAAACAAATATTTCGCGGTATTTTATTGAGAGCGGTTGAATTACCGATATAATTGCCGCTTTATATCTCGATTCGTATTATTTGCCTGTGGATGCAATTAATGTGGAAAAGGAAAAAAAAAATATGACGACGTAACAATATTGCGTCGACAAGTTGACTTTAAGTAGGTCGGATTAAAATGACTGACCTTGCACAGGGGTTGACTCTGAGATTCCTATCAATATAATGAACTCAAGTGCATCGTTAATCCACATGTATTATAATTACAAACTTAATTGATTGAACAGTAATTGTTTCCACGGTTTGAGTACCTTTCATCGCAATTATTCGAGCCTGGAGTGCTTGCGACACTCATAATTCATCAATATTGATATTGGAATATTGTGGACAACTGGTGAAGGGCATTATTTATGATGATGGGGCATGCGGGTATTATAGCGTCATTATCGCGGAAATTTATCGGTGCGCTCATTGTGAAAGATGACCTCACGGTAATTCCAGGAAAGAAAAAAAAATTCTGGGCTCTCCTGGTGCTATTCGTTGAGTGATTCGCGGTTTTTATTCTGGTTTTTTTTTTGCTTCCGAGTGGACGTAATTGTAATTGTTGTGTTTTAAGTGAGCAATTTTCCATTTTTGGATGACTAAATTTGGAATGGGTTTTACATTTTTTTTTATCGTATTAATCTTTCCATAAAAAATTTCCTATTCCTGTGGGTCAGGAGGACTAATTTTTCATTTTTTTTTCGAAATTTCTTTGGAAATTGGAAAGGTTTTTCCAAATAAAACCTTTTTCAAAAAATGTCCGTGCATATGCTATGTATATATGTGAATAAAAAATTTTCCGACCATCACTCAAAAAATAATTGTTCAATTTCATTCAATGTGTCACTCATTTCTTGAAAACCCACTGCCGCGTTAACGTCAATCTAATGTTGACCCAACCCTGGTACAATGTTGGGGTAAGGTTGCCCCAATGTTGGCGCAAGCTTGTTTCAGTGTTGACGCAAGGTTGGTTAAAAAAAAAGCAATGAGATTAATTCACAACTTCATCCGAGTATCTCAAATAATTTTCATTTCAATATAAAAAAAAATAATCTAATCTACATATTTATCTTGACATTATATGAAATTATAAATATTTCATTATTAAATTTTTCGTATTTTGCAGTATCACGTAAATAGAGGCCATTGACCGCGCCAGCAGGTGAATTAATCGAGACAATTATCGGGCTGTTGTATTTTCGTCATGTCGAGGATAATTTGACTGATATCAAGAGATTAGAATGAATTGTGATAATCACTTTAAAGTGGAGTGATGTAATGTCTTGGGACTGTAGAATTGTAGGAAATGCATTGGATTATTTATATTTTTCAGCGATTTCTATACGATTTTTATATTTTTTCGAACTACATCATTAATCTTCTAAGATTTTTTATTTTTCGTTGAGGAAAATTCTGGAAGAAATGCACTAGATTTTATAGGATTCGCGATTAAAAAATTATTATTAAATTGGATTGTTTTTTTATATAGAAATGTTTTATATGGAATATTAGTTTTTTTTTTGCAATTACACGATTGGCATGTCTTCTATAGAATTTTTATATTCTTTCTGTCAATTTTTAACAATTATGCAGAATAACAACATTTTTTGTTAATAAATTCCTTGGAAGACTAGATTATTCTATAAAATATTTCTGTACGAATAATATTTTCAATAGAAATCACTCGTTTCGAATTCGCAGCGATTTTCTACGCGATTTGCGTAACGAAAAAGAAAGTTCTCCAAAAATTCCATGAGAACTCGATTGGAGTTCCTGAAGAACTCCAACTGTCATCAGGTCTGTTTACCCCTAAATAAGAATGAGTCCCAATAAATATCGAATCACGCAATCTTCAAAACTGAAATCACATAAAGAAAAACGAAATTTATTTCCCAGAACTCCAATAGAACTGCAAGTGAATTCCCAGAGAACTCCAAATGAAATTCAATAGAAAATTCAACTAGAAGTGAAAAATAAACAAAAATCCAATAGAATTTCCCAACGAATTCCCGGAGTTCCCTAAAATCCCAATTGAACCCCTAAAAAATCTTCGATAATTGAAAATAAAAATGTCTGACACCTGCTTTCCAGTGTACGATGCGTCAGCGAAGATCCCGTCTGGCGTAATAACCGGTAATTACAAACAGCTCGGTAATTACGACGAGTGCCTGCGGGTAAAGAGTGATTACGGATTTGTGGGTAAAGCGTGCAGCGCAAAAGTTCACTTCACAATATCAGAGACAGCCGGAAGAGTAAATAAAACCCGAGACCTCAGTGACTTGTTGGAGAGTCTAGCCTTGGCATCTGTGAGCACTCCCCGGTGGATAATTAATGCATTACCAGACAACTCATTAAATAATCCGAATACACTGACATCGATGATTATTTCAGGACGTAAAAAACTGGAAATCAGGAGCTACTGTTCCCTACGAATGGTTGTGGTGTGTTCCATCGTCCTGCGACAATCAAGACGTTGAGAGGGCGTTGGAGATGTCACTGGAGCCATTGCTGTCAGGGAGTCGAATTAATTTGACAGTCACCGTTGAGCCCTGTCACACTATTGACATCGATCGTCCTGTGCTCGTTATTGCCGATTTGATTTACATGTACTCAATAAAATATGTCGTGGTACAGGCATCAAGTTCTCTGAGGTTAATGATGGACTCAAATATTGATATTTATCTTTGTGTAGATCAATTCTGGTCCTGTTTGCTATAATCGTCATTGTCAGCACAACTTATGATCTGGTTAAGACAACAGATGCAGAGAAAACGGATCATAATGGTAATGAATAATTCATTAATTATGGATTATCAGTTTTTCTAAATGTCATGGTTATCGAGGGATCTGTTATTATTATTTCAGACACTAAACGGTTGCTATTGACTTCTTTTTCGCTCTATACTAATGGAAAGAGTCTGTTGAATACGAGGAATAATGGAGATAATGTCGCCTGTTTGGATGGATTGAGATATCTCAGTATTTGTTGGATTATTTATGGTCATGGGTACTATCTGCAGGCTGTTGGTGTGCAGTTGGATGTCAGCAGTATTCCGACTGTGGGTTTACTCATTTTTTTTCTTGATCTACCGATTTTTCTGGTGGAACATTGGAAATCTATTGGAGTTCTCCTGAAGATTTTAATTCTATAGGTGTTCTCTTCTAGTTATTTTGAAGTTTTATTGTTTTTTGTGGGATTTAAATGGGGGAATATCAAATTTCATTCTGTAATTTTGTTAAGAGATACTCCAAGAAGTTTCTCAGAACTCCTATAGAGTTGTTAGAGAACTCCATTCATTGCAGTTTTCCATAGGAATTCCGAGATTCTTTATTAAATTCCTTCAAATCTATCATATGAGGAATAATATGCTCTCACCAAATTCCAGATGCACGAGATTTGGACGAATCTTCTCGTCCTCAACGGAAATATCGTAACAGATACGTTTTTCCTTCTCGGTGGAATCCTCCTGACGTACTCCGAGCTCGGACGAAAGGAAAAACAGCCCCACACCTACAATTTGAATGTCGGACTACTCTATTTCCATCGATATCTCAGATTAACACCGGCTTATGCAGTGGTAATCGGTTTCTATGCCACATTATTTTATAAAATGGGCAGTGGTCCCCAGTGGAACACCTGGGTGGGGAGTAATCGGCAGTTCTGCGTCGACAACTGGTGGACAAATTTGTTGTACATCAATAATTACATCGATGTTGGCAACATGTGCATGTCTCAGTCGTGGTATCTCTCAGTGGACATGCAGCTTGTCTGGATATCTCCGATATTTCTGTATCCACTTGTCGTCCTGGGGATTAAACACATTGCGTCTGTCATTGTGCTGTCAGTGGGACTCTTCATCTCCATTGTTGCTCCACTCTTGATCACTTACTTCGATCGACTCACCGGGACGATGCTGTATTATAAAGAGTGAGACTCAATTTATTTTATGATTGTATTGTCAGAGGAATTACAATTCAGAAAATATCGAGATTATTTGGTGGGATAATGTAACATGTGTAGAGTCGACGTGTGGTTTTATGATGAGAGATAAATAATTTGTTGCAGCGATATCTGTTTGATTTATCACTGAGTAACTATCAATGGCGGGGGACAAATTAATAATATAGTTAATAATAGTGAAAGTCGGAGGTGAGATTGTACAGGGGTATTTTAGCTGAGGGAATGGCTCTTCTGATAATTCAACAAGAATATCACCGGAAATTAAAATGTCACCTCAAACTTCTGCTTCGGCGATAATTTTTCACTTTTCAGTCAAACATATTATTATTTATCATGATAATTCAATCTTGACATTTTACTCGAAACAATATGAATTCACGCGCCATTTTTCTATTTTCAAGTGGAAACTATGAATTTTTTGACAGCTGAATATTTTTCTCGGGGAATAATGATCTCGAGACAGGAAAATTCTCGGCAGACTATATTCTTCATCAATCCATCTTCATAAAAATCAATCAATCAATCAATCTTCTTATATTTACTAAAAATTCTTGTTAGGCAGACCGAAGTAGCCAACGTCTACTTGCAGATATATACACGAGTGTACGCAAGAGCTGGGCCTTACATCGTGGGACTTATTCTCGGTTATGTCCTTCATAAATTTCGAAACAACGCCCCGAAGATATCTCACGTGAGTATAAAACCCATACAACAACAATTTACAATTTACACAATAAATACATACCGATTTTTATTATTAATTTATAACTCCTCATCTCATCTTATCTCATCGAAGAGATAAATTCCACCAATAATCTATAAGCATTTAAAAATGAGAGTCTATTACTTAAATAAATTTAATAATTTATCCTTGGGGCCCGATTTACATCTACTATCTGCATACCCAAACGCACCTGAGATTCTTAATTGTTTATATGTCATCACTCGATCAATAAATATTCAACAATAACGCAATTAATCAGGAGCCAGGGTATTGTAGAATTGGAGTAATTTGTATTGTTTTCAGAGGTACATTGTCTTGGGCTGGGTCCTTGCTATAACAGTGGGTCTTGCTGTAATTTTCGGCCCCCGAGGGATGTATTTCGACGATTATAAATACAACGGAGTCGAAGCTGCTATTTACGCGGGATTCCACAGGACTGGATTTGCGGTTGCTGTTGGATGGATTGTATTTACTACAGTCCTAGGATATGCAGGTGATTAATCTTTCATTGATTTAATCTTAAGAATTTTCCGCTGATTTTTTTAAAATTCAATTTCATTTTCATGCGACGAAAACATTTTTTTCGATTCGATTTAGAAATTTTTATATAATTGCACGCGATTAGTTGGAAGCTCACCGCGAATTTATTAGCGAAAATTGAGTAATCTTGTTTGAATTAATAATTCCGAGAAAATCCATGATTTTTTGAATGATCTTGCAGGTCCAATTGGGGTCTTGCTCTCCTGGTCTGGATGGATGCCTTTTGGAAAATTGACGTACTCTGCGTATTTAACTCATTACATCGTCCTCCTCTACAACAACGGAAGCGCCAGAACCTCCGGAAGTCTGAGCACTTTTGGAACGGTAAAACAATTCCATTCACTAAATTATAAATTAAATTCTCTTTCACTCAATAACCACAAAACAAATCACCGCATTATCAATTAATGTATTTCCTTTTCCTACTTTTGTTTTTGTTTTTTCGTCTTTTTCTAAATCTTTTCTATCTGTTCTATGTGAAATCTGTAATATTTCGGGATCACCTCCCCTTATTACGATCAGGTGTTATTACGGCGTAATAATTAATAATTACGGTACATTTTATTACGGAAACATATTACAGGGAAAATTCATTACAGCATTTTTTTATCATATAACTAATTAATTATAACGTTTGCAATATTTGTATTTGTATCACATTTAAATGTAAACCCTGGGATTTTATTCAAGACGGTGTAATGTAATTAGGGAATTCGTTCTAATTATTAATTTTTTTATTATTTTCGTGTTCTTCAGGTGCATGTGTTCCTCGGTAATTTGGGACTTACGATGCTCCTCTCTGTGATTCTGTTCCTCTGCTTCGAGTTGCCGTTCACTCGAATGGTTCGACTCTTCACTCGCTCCAGGGAACGTCGAACATTCAGCAAAGGATCGTTCAACCCAACGATCGATGGATTCAAATCGACCAGCGAAATTTATCGCTCAAGCGATGACGTCGTGTCGACAGTCTTCGAGGGTTACGATAATATTTTCGTTCCTTACGTGAGAGATCCGGTAGTTAGAATTCCAAATTCGATTGATTCCTGTGATTATTTGCAGTCGTCACCGACAGAAGTGCCAAAACGCGACAGGAATTCGCGTCGTTGTGATTTTTATTGAGTCAAAGCTTTTACTGTTGGAGGATGCTTATTCTTTTGACCTGCGGTTTTGGGAGAATGTCCCGGAGACAGACGGACGGGGAAAAATACGGGATGAACAATGAATTGCGAATTGATGAATGCAGCGTACGCGGAGAGAAAAATTTAGTAAAAATTGTTGAGAAAAAGAAAGTAAAAATAACCAGTAGAACTAGTCCGTGAAAGAAGTGAAGTTCAATTAAAAAACGAGAGGTGGAATATCCTTATATAAAAAATACATGGATATCTCGAATTGACATTGAATATCGATAATCGTTCAACTGCGATAATCGAAAGCGACATCTCTACCATACATCGCATCGTCACCTCATCACACTATACTATACACACATTTAATGAGGTCAACGTCCCGGCCGCTTGCGGCCGGGGCGGCGCTATAGAAGATGAAAAGGACAAGGGGAATCGATCTCGAAATTTATCGATTTTTATCGAAATATATCGAAATATATCGAAATATATCGAAATATCTCGAATGACCGTAAGACATGCTACCACCTGCGAGGCACGCGTAGAAGATCTCGTTGGAATAGAAATTATTCGAATTGTCACGTGAACTCTACGATCTCTTTCGTAAAAAATACCCACTAGTCTGATGACTCACCGCTGTGTTTACGCCAAGTAGTTCCGTCATTATTTCCCCAACGATTGAAAACTTTTACGGAACAGAACGTACAAGCAACACACGAGCCTCATAAAAATTGAACTTCATGAATTTTTTATTTTTCAGGCAAAACAAATCGAGAATCATCTGTAAGATTTTACTCGTTCGGGTAAAATTACGTGACAATTTCGGACTGTTTTCATTGATCAACTTGCGAAAATTCTCAATGTCGCAAATTTTCTTCCATTCTTAAAAATACTGGTAAAAGATTCCATCTCTCGGATTACGTCAACTGTTCCGTTATTTTTACTGAAAATTTCTCCAGATGCATTGGGAATGATAATTAATAGCAGAAGGGCAGTAATTAGAATGCAATTTTTTTTCTGCGATTATCAGGAAAAACATGTGTCAAATTGCAGTGTCAAAGGAACAGCAATCACTCCGCGTTATTTTAGTTACCAGTCAGAATATACAACCTATCTACCTATTGCCTCTTAAATTTTTTCTCGCGCCGGTGAAATTTTTGGATTTCAATCCAAATCAAATTTCAAATCCCACAATAACGTCAGTGATAACAGAAATTCGTACTAAACAATTTAGAATTGATTAAATTAAGGAATGATACAACAAAAATTCTTATAAAATTGTGACTTAATTATCTAGAATTCAAATTAACTTGGGGATTTGAAACACAAGGAGCACAAACAGATGAAAAAATGTCGTCTCTTTATCGATGAGAATAATCTACAATTTTAACGACGATATTTATATTTTTTTATAAACAATTAATTAAAACAATTAACTATCCGATAATTCCCATGGAGTCTGTCAATTTTCCCCACTAATTTGACAGATATCGTTAAATAAATAAATTGTGTTGATTTAAAGAGGCGAATTGCAAAGTGACTCGATTTGGTAATCTAATTATTCCCTCTAATTATTACGATCAGGTGTTGTTACATTACATTTTATTACAGATACTTATGACAGGGACAATCAATTACAGCATTACTTATCACATAACTAATTAACTACAACATTTGCAGTATTTGTATTTCCATCAAATTTAAATGTGAACCCTGCGATTTTGTTTATTTGCGTGCGTTTCAAATTTTCAATTTTATCATCTCTCCTTTATTTGTTATCGTATGGAATTTTTAATTGAGTTGCTATTGTAATTCTTTCTGTTGTAATCACGTCCCGATGAATTGTGCTATGATAGAATGAAGTGTGATGAATTCTCGATGTAATCAGACGGGCCATAATTATCCCTCAAGACGGTGTAATTAATTATGCCATAATATGTAAAGGTTTAATTAATTAATTAATCAATAAAACTAAATTAATTAATAAAAATGGATCAATTAATAATTAATTAATTAATTAATTAAATTAATCCATAGTAACTCGAGAAAATTACGAAAGTTGGGACTGAATGATTCGGTTTTTTGGAAGGAAGAAGTGAAAACGCGTGGAAATTAAATTGAATTTGATATTTTTAATGTACTCTCAGGCCAACGGGTGCGACAAGTGTCACATCTTCTGCCCACACGACTGCACGTGACCCTAATATTCCCCAGTGTCCCTAAAGACTTTTTTTTTCTCGTGGGAAGCAGTACATTAAGCTGTTCTTTCCACTCCGAAGTGATATCGATAATTACGGAATTATTACGGCAATATTCCAAAGGAAATGAATTTACGATAACGATGGGGGCACGCACCCCCGGATGGGATGGATGTCATAATTTATGAATGAAGGGTTCGTGGTTACGTATACCACAAAGTGCTGTGGAAATTTGCCTGATGGAAATCTGAATTTTCCGTTGACATTCGGCGACGGCCTGGGCAACAGACACTGGGACACCCTGGGGTGCTCTCTCCCGTTGTGCTAAACACCCGGATGGATTTCTCCTATTGTTCGATTACCATCGACATCTGTATAGCTTCTGACGTAATGCACTTACACCAAGTATTTCCGGTTTTATGGGAATTAAGTCTCAATTGTGTTCAGACGAAAATTAAGTCTACTGAGGTCACCTGGATGGATTTTTCTGTCTCAAGATTAATTTATTCAGAAATATTGTAAGAAATTGAGAGTTTGCATGGAAATTTGGAAAATTACATGGAACGGATTTTTATAGGTTTTTTGACAGTGGGTTATCTGAATTATTAGTTATTTGAGGTTGAATTGAATTGAAATTAAAAATGGGAATTGAAGTTTGGAGTTGACTGGTGATTGATTTTCTAATGAAGACTTGGATTTTTAAGCTTTTGACGGTTTTTCGTTGTCATGTGGACCTGGAAATTGGGAATTATCAGATTATTCAGGAAATTAACTGATCCGTCGATTAAGTATTCTACAGAAAATTCATGTCACTTTGTTATTGTTGAAATTTTAATGTTTTTGATTGGAATTTCAAGTGTAATTTTCCAACAATGTACTTCATTCAGTTCTACACCCCAAAATTTTCTCGTCCCAAGATTATTATTCCCCAGGAAAAATATTCAGCTGTGAAAAATTGATAGTTTCCACTTGAAAATAGAAAAATGGCGTGTGAATACATATTGTATCGAGTAAAACGCCAAGATTGAAATATCATGATAAATAATAATATGTTTGACTGAAAATTGAAAAATTATCGCCGAAGCAGAAGTTTGAGGTGACATTTTAATTTCCGGTGATATTCTTGTTGAATTATCAGAAGAGCCATTCCCTCAGCTAAAATACCCCTGTACAATCTCACCTCCGACTTTCACTATTATTAACTATATTATTAATTTGTCCCCCGTCATTGATAGTTACTCAGTGATAAATCAAACAGATAACGCTGCAACAAATTATTTATCTCTGATCATAAAACCACACGTCGACTCTACACACTTATATTATCCCACCAAATAATCTCGATATTTCCAAACCTCTTTTTTTCGCAATATTCCTTTCCGATGAAACCAGAAAATGAAAACCACATTATTTCCCAGATAGAAATACCATTTAATCGCAAAACCCTAGAAGACCCTATCACCCGCATCTGTTTTCATTTCACAAGAAAGAGATCCAGATGCCTCCGTCAATTATCAATTCTCCTATCTATCGAAATGCCGTCACAAATTTTTTACAAGTATTTACGAGTTCCCAATGTCATGTTCTTTGGTATATAACATATAAGAGGGCCGTACCAAAAGATTATGGTGGAAATGTCCGACGATCAACTCGAGTGTTTGGTAGAACTTGTGTGTGAAAGCAGTTGAAAATACACACGAGAAAGCCTTGACTTTCGAAGAGACAGACAAACGCTTTCCATCAAAGGAAAATATGCCGCAATCATCCCCCGCCAATGAAGTAGCACTTGGGATGACTTATTTTCTACTTTCAGCTCCACCGAGGGGTCCTATGCGGTTAAACAATTATGGGACTCATTACGGAATGTTCTACACTTGAAGAAAAATTTTATCACTCAATGAATGTTCATAATTTACCCCGAAAAATCCCCGAGATTAAATTTTATTCTATTTTTCATTCTCATTTTTCACTCATTTTTTAATTCATACAATTTTTCCGATGATTCTATCATGTCTTATTTATCCGAATAGTATATGAATGTGTATATAATATATATATAATATATATACTAGACCTATTCATTTCTTGGACAAGATTTTTTTTCATGTCAAAAACATTATTATATTTTATTACTATTATTTAACTGAATAATGCGTAATAATAATGCGAAATTTTCTCTGTTTGATTAGAACGCGCAATCGGACTTTTCCGCGTATCAAAGCGTTTTAATTTTTTTTTTTTGCGATTGAGGGTCGTTCCGACCGTGGGAAAACTACATATACATGTTAAACTTGAATATAAAATGGTGATTAATTTTTTTTGCCCTTCAATAGATTCCAAATACGTGGAAATGATACACTTTTCTAAATTTTGGATGAATCACATTGTTCTTGAGAATATCTCAAAAACGGTTCACTTCATGAAAAAATTGAAGAGAACTTTTTTTTTAGCTCTGGAAATTCTCTACAAAATCAGTCCTATAAAAAATTATCTCAAACCTCAATATTCTGGAGATATCCGCAAAACATTCCAGAAAATCTTGTGAATGTGCGGTTTATCAAGATTTTGTTCGTCACACCTCAGAGAATAAATGAATAAATCCATAAAGTAATGAGTAATAAACATTCTTAATAATTCATAATTATGATTAATCAAAGGATCAATTAATTTTTTAATCATGGAGATGTTAAAATGTCCTAATCTGACCCACAGGTTTCCGGTAATTTCCATAAAACGAGAAGATATCCGCAATAATTTTTTAATGAATGATTTTAGGGTATGGTAAAAATTGGTCGGATGTGGACATCCGGAAATATAAAAGTCCTCGGAAGTTCCTGGGCCAGAAGAGGTGGGCGTTGTGGAGCTGGGAGCAGGCGCTGGATAACGCGATAATGATTGCTCTTGGTTTGTAAGGCCATGGCGCCGTCTCCCACAGCAACGATATACCTATTAAGTAATAATGGTGATAGTGAAGTGCCTGGAGAAAGGGAAGTAAGAGGCCTGCTGGTACGGCTTGATGCCAACGGCAAAGAGGAAAATGGTGGAGTCAACTGGAAAATAGTTTCAGGGGTTGGACGACCAAATCCGATATGAGAGTCTACTCCCCTCGAACTCGATGTTAACCAGAACACCTTCTGATCTTACACTAATCGAGTAATAAGTCTTATCTATCGCGATAAGTGCAAACATTTATGGGTTGTACACTTTCTGAAAATTGGAGCATATTGTCACTCATTTGTTACAAGGAAAAAAATATTTTTTCCTGTTAAAAAAAATTCAATGTAACGTTTTTTAAAGCTGGTTTATTATATATATATTATAGATATTTATATATATTTATTTTATTTTTATTCTAAAATTGGTTCCTTTTTCTTTCGCGCTTTGGATTTTTCCATTTCAATGTGTGAATTCCGATTCTTATGTATCTATCGTTGAAAAATAAAAAATGTACGGGAACAAGAGTTTAATTGAAAGGAAAAATTATATTCGCGAAAACACTGGGAGACTTTTAAATAATTAAGACAATAATTTAGACTCCCTTAACGTTTTTTGATGATAAAAAAATAAATTACTGGGAATGATTTCCTTTTTCGCAAGTGTCCAAACGATTCGTTGAATCCCTCTTGAATCCTATAGTTCCCAGAAAAATTTCGTAATTTTCCGCCATTATTGAGTGTCAATTGAGCAAATGTAATTGTTTTTTTAATGTACGTTTAAACATTCGAGAATGGAGAATTGAAAAAATGGGGAAACATAAATAAATACTAAAAAATCAAGAATTGACAGATAATAATAAATTAATTAATCACAACAATTAACAACAATTAACAACAATTAACTAGAATTAATGAAGCAATAATTTTTCAATTGACAGAAACAATTATAAAATAAAAACACATAGTTTTTCTTTTTTTTCTGATAATTTTCATTGGATATTCGCGTATAGATAAAATTGAGAAAACCGCCATTTTGAGAGTTCTTTCAACTTTCATGTGATTATCTTTTTGGGGGGAGAGACTAACATTTTTGGAGAGAGAACACCGATTTATTGAGGAAATATCTGGCCACGGAGTCAAAAGAAGAAAGAGTCCGTATGTTATTCATGCACTAAAACTCTGTGAGCATCTGAGTTTCCTAGTAACTCATAACCGGGACTCGTTTGAACCCAAATTTTACTGTTCATTGAGAATTTGTGAATGAAGGGGTGGACACGTGCAACATGGTAGATGTTTATTTTACAAGGTTGACAAAATTGGGATGGGGGAAGGCCTGGAATTTGAGCGTGTGCCACCCAGGGCTTAAGCACCTGCCATAACTACTTCCTTCCTCCGGCTCCTGTTTGTGCCGGAGTTAATGATAATGATACAAGTGGAGGAAGTCAACCCTTCATCCTTGAAGAGAAGTTACAACTGAATGATAACATCGCCCAGAAAAAAGAAAACATATCCAATAAAAATTTTCGGAAAACGAAAGTCAAAATTATATTTCAAATTTTCCACCCTGTACAGGGACATTTTACCGTCATACATGAGATTTGAAAACATAATTTACCATTTTTAAATTGTAATTCACGATTGTCTAATCATTAATCGCGTGATTTACGAAGGAGATTACGAAAATTCACAAGTGAAATGGGGAAGTTGGATAATTAGATTTGTTCGGGGCCAGTTTTTTGCCGATATCTCAAAATGCAAGGAGCATAGCGATTTTTTTATGGGAACATTTTTTGTAGAGAAAAATCGGAGCTATAAAAAAGGTATCTA